TTCAATTTTTCATTAGTAATCATTGATTACAATTAAAGGCTAGGAAATTGATAAAATTTGTAATATGATAGTGATAGAGTTTCATCAATGAATTTTATCATTTTGTTTCCATTCTCAAGTTTTCAATACTATTAAATTAATATTGAATAAATGACTATAATCATTAAATAAATTTATGCTTTGATAAACAATTAACTGTTACAATATAGCATTTCTTGAGTAAACCATATCCTCGACTGATAAGTGGACATAATGAACAACAAAAACACTCAACTGTGAAAAGTGAAGCAATTGCAGTTAAAATCATGATTCTAAATGCATGATAATTTGAGTCAATTGATACGATCCGTGAATACAATGAGATAAGTTTGTACGAAAGCAAAAAATTGTAATAATGAATGAGATAGAAGCTGAATAAATAGATTGAATCTTAATTGTTGAGCGTTCAATTATACATGATAAAATACATGTAAATTGAAATAAACAATGTTATTAAGTATAATTGATGAGAGAGGAAGCAAAGACATTGAATTGAGGGCATTTTAACAATGATTCAGTTTGGTTAATCAATAAGTTAAATGAATGGATAACAATAAAATCGGACAATTAGCATAACACTCAGCAATTGAAATTAGAAGGAAAAGTAAAGTAAAAGAAGCAAAAGTATACCTTTAATGGTATAGCATCTAATCAATCTTTCAAATGATATAATCTCATTTTTTTTCATTCAATTATTAATAGAATCATGAAAATCATGGTAAAAGTTTTAAACTGAACATGAGCAAAAAAAGGAAAAGTTAACACTTTGAGTAAAAAAGTAATATGAAGATGGCGAAGGATGAAAATAAGATAATATTGGGTAAAATGATCTTGAAGAGGATAATGAGATAAAGTGAGTAAACAAATGGTTCACAATTAAAATTAACTATAAACTGTTATCTTGATTAACATTTTTCTTTCTTCAGCTGTTATCCGTTCAAGCTAAATAAACATGCAAAAATTAATCAGCTGAGTTTATTGTTGATATTGAATGTATTTAGGGTGAGGCAGATGATTAAAACAGTTGCTCTCACATCCTCTTCATCATTACCATCATCCTTTTTCATCTCGGTTAATTTTATCACCGACCGGTAATCATTAAAACGGTTGATTCAGTTGATAGACACTTTTTTTTATCTCCTCGGTAGATTAAAATGTTTACAATTGCGAGTCTCATGATCGTCAGAATCTATGAGCGCATTAAAAGTTACAGAATAATCATCAACATTTATCATGATTCAAAGATTAGTTTTGTAATAATAAGTGATAAAATAAAATGAATACTTTGATAGCAATTTGCTCATCAAGAGCAACTGGAGAAGAAAAAAGATTAATCTGAATGTAAATGTAACGTATTGTCTACACTCAACATGATAATTAATCTCTCAATAATTAACTGTTATCAATTTAAGAAGTCACCAAAGTTCATGGACAGTTATAATTAGCCAATGAAAGGGATGACAATTGAATGGCGAAGAAACATTTTCAGCTTCAATAAACATGGATTAATGAACAATTCAAGTTGAAATGTTGATCAGCAACTGAAAGATTGGCTGTAAATAAATAATCTGATTAAACTGTTGATTAAAATTATGCATTAACCATGAAACTTGAAACAAGAAAAAACCTTTTTCATACAATCATAGTTACAGTTTTGAATGAGATTATTGAAGCTGTAAAAAAAGGGTAAAGATGACAACTAACCTTTAACACACTTTGAGCATTTTATAATCATTCATTTGATGCCGTTAATTGTTATAATAATCATTTCATTGTGACCTTGATTCTTCATGTAATGGTGATCAAAGTAATACTTAACAAACACTTGATTAGTTATTGTGCAGTTTTAATAATAATCAGCAATCTGCTGGTTTCTGTTGATTTTGCTTCTGTTGCTGTAACAACATCAGTTAACTGTTTCCTCTTCGTATTTTGTTGTTGCTTGTTGCTTGTTGATTTCATGTTAAACTGTTCAACCTTATTAAGATAATATAATGGCTAAATAATATTATTAGAAGCAATGAAAAGTTTTCAAATTGTTCATCATTTTACTACTTTTGTTTCGAGTCTTGTAGAGGCCTTGAGCATATCAAGCAAAAAATATAATGGAAAGAGCAACAAAACTGAAAACATTTTGTTTCACCCTCAACACACAGATGAAATTAAATTCAATCTGATTAAATTAAAATCAATTAACACTATTAAATTGGTTAGTTGAACAATTGAAGAGAGGATTGAATTGGCAATCAAATGGTGAGTAATAATGAATATGAAGGGAAGCGATAAAAGTTGAACAATTAAAAATAGCTATTAATTGTGATAATGAATAGAGATGATTGCCGTTTCTCCGGAAATCAAATGAGTTCAAAAGTTAAATTTCATTTTTTAATTAAAACGCATTATTGACAAGCATTCCCAATTATTATCACCCTTTTCCGATAATCATCATGATTATGAATATAAGGAGAGACACAGACTGAATAAACTCTAAACAATTGAACCAATTGAAGATGACAGGTTGAAAAAAAAAATCAACTGACTTTAATTAGGTTGCCTATGAGAGTTGGTGTGAAAAAAAAGATGAGCCTCAACAAGAGGATTGACAAGGTTTTGACTAAATTGTTGTATTGATCAGTAACAATCATAAATTTCCAAGTATAATACTTGACAATGAACAATTACAAGTGACAATGAGAGCAAAAATTCAGTCCTTTTTACTGAAAAGAAATGAGTGAAGAAAACAAAAAGTACTTTACAGGCGTTTTCTGCGCGTTTCTTAAACAAAAGTTACTCCAGACTTGAGTTACAGATAAAATTGTTTTTCATGATTATCATGAAAAATAAAAGGATACAAATCTAGAGAACAACTTTTAATCTGAAAACTTCTTTTATAACTTTTCTTTTTTTATACATTCAACTTAGCCTGAAATATCATCTAAAAATGATCATTTTATCCCTTTAAGTTTCCTTTCTTTCCTTTTCTTCCTTTTCTTCCTCTCTTCTGGTTACTTTTACCAAGCCTGTTTTACAATGTCCAAGTCCTTAAATATTCACCCAAAAATAAATAGCTAGACCCGGGTGAAAACCTTTAAATCCCATTGCTATTGTGTTAATCAATTCATCCTCATTTTTCTTCCTCTTTCATCTTCATTCTCCTTCTTTTTCTCTCTCTCTTTTCATTCATCATTTATTTCATTCTTTCATTTCTCTTTGAGCTTCCTTCAACTGCTTATTACTTGTATTAAAGGAAGCAGCTTTTTTTGCAGCTAAATGCTTAATAATAGTAAAAAGCTGTTGCTGTTGCTGCTTCTGTTACAAATCAACAACAAAAGTTGGACCAAAGTGTTGAGACAAACCAGCATCTAAAAAGTTTTCAGAAAGTTCATTCTGACCTAACAGACTATTCAATGAAAATGAGATGCATGTCAAGATAATCATCAATCAGTAGAGAGTAGAAAAAACAAAATCAAAGTCAACTTAATCATGCAATTAAACAAATTAATAGGAATGGAAAAAAATTTGCAAACAATTTAACTGTCAGTAATTTCAAGTATTAATAGTCGAAATAGCCATCATCATAAACTCAGAACAATAATAACAATAATAATTAGAATAATAATGACAAATTGACCTTCATTGGCTGTTTTTTTGTGTCTTATTGCTTTAAAATAGACTGAGAAACTGTTTATTTGAATTGAAAGTAACAAAAATTCAATCAACTTGTGACCAACCCAAGTGATTGTTTTGAATTATTGAATAAGAAATGGAATCAACGGTGCGACTCGAAGTTTTTTTTATGTTAATTGTACTGTCATTTTAATCTATGATACTATTAACCTCGAAAATCGAGCGACCAAGTCGTCAAACGGTCAACACCAACATAATTTGGCTGAAAAAAACGCTGGAAAACATGAAAGCATACAAACACACCTTCAGTTATAATTGTATAATCCTTTTACTTACGATAAAGTCGTAATATAATCATAAAATAAACTGGAAAATTACTTTCACAAACAATTCCATAAAGGGTTTAGCCAAATATACAATAAACGCGACGAAGAGGAAGGGAGGAAGGAAGGCAAGAGAGTGAGAAGGAAAAAAAATATCATCATGTTGCATGAAATGTGGCTCAAGTTACGTAAATCACCAACACAATAAAAACAGTCGCTGTTAGTCGTATTTTGTTACCCATAAGAGGTGAACACAAAAGATGAAGGAATGCAAATTTGATTGTAAATTGAAAGTTATTACAATATGTAAATAAATTGCAAGATGAAAAGATATTGATTTGAAGTAGACCTTCTATAGATTTCAGAGCTAAATTCATAAGATTTACATAAAATCAGTGGCTTGACCGATTCAATTTTTAAACTCATTAGTTCTTTAATATGTTTCCTGTGACAGAAAAATTTCTTCTAATTTCATATAATACTTGATGCAGGTGAACAAAGTAGATGTTAGCTGTAATATGACCTCAAATAATGGATCAATAGGATTCAAAGCTAGACTAAAGGCTAAATGTCATTAGACTTTAGCTAAATAAGTCTCTTCATTTTACTCATTTCTTTCAGTCTACTCATTTCAAGCTCTCTTCATTTAAGATGATTTGCAACTGTTAAATGGGGTTGATGATGTTGAGGTCTAGCTTTGTTTTCTGGTCAAAAATGCTTCATATTTCAACCAAAAATACATTCATAATACCTCTTAAATAAGGTTATGATGTTATTGACTGCACAAGACTATTCAAAAGATATAATTTGACATTATTTGGATTACCATATGGTACAACTGGGTTAAATGTTGTTGACCAAAAACCTTTTGATTATTGAGGACAAATCCATAGATGTAATTACTCACAATGATTATTTGATTGCAAATTGAAGTAGTTCAATATTTTAATAAAGTGAAAGGTAAAAAGATATTGATTTGTAGGAATTAAGAAAGCATGAAATGATACATACCCATAAGATGCTGCATTGTGTAAAGGTATTAATCCACCTTTGTCGGGTGCATTGACATCAGCACCTTTATCTAAAAGGTATTCTGCTACTTCAATGTTATTGTAACCCGCTGCAAGGTGAAGCGGTGTTGAATTACGTCCCTGGGAATCACGACAGTTAATATTTTCTGGAGTAACCAGTTTCATGACACGGGAAAGGTTACCCTTTTTAGCTGCATCCAGTAAAGAGTAATCACCGGAGAGCAGGTCAATTATATTTTGATCACCATCTTTGACTAGGTCCGATGGCATATGACCATCACGATTTTTTTTCGATGGATCAGCTCCATGACGGAGCAATAATCTGACTATATCATATTTGCCTTTGGCTGCAGCTTCATGGAGTGGAGTAAATTTCCATAAATCGGTAACATCAATGTTAGCACTTTTCTTTACCAACAATTCGGCCACCTCATAATGACCATAGGAGCAGGCATTGTGAAGTGGAACCAGGCCGCCTTTATCCTTGGCATGAACATCGGCACCTCGTTTAAGCAACAGATCAACAATGTCTACCCTATTATAACCTGCGGCCAAGTGTAAAGGAGTTGACTGTCGTCCATCGGAATCACGGACATTAACAAGATGAGGAAATGAGTTGAGAATCGTTTTAACAGTATCACAGTCTCCAGCTTTCGCTGCCTCCAAAAGTTTAAATTCAGCATCGTCCGTGGATGTGGCTTTATGGTTGGCCAACAACTTTTGAATGTTTTCCTTGGCGACTTGATCTGCTGTGTACCCCTGTAGTGAGACTATCGAGGTATCAGCACCATAGGATAGTAAAATCTGGCAAGCTTGAAGGTTACCCTCTCGAGCACATCGATGGAGACAAGTTTGACCCAAACCATCCAGACTATTGACCTTGGCTCCAGCTTTTAATAAAATTTCCATAACATCGTAATGAGATTTATCCGCTGCTATATGTAAAGGTGAGAAATGATCTTTGTTTTTCTCGTTTAATAAAACTCCTTTGGCAATAAGAGCCTCTGTTATTTGTTTACGTTTAGTATGAGGTGAAATAGCGGCTAAATGAAGTGCAGTATCACCGGTCAATGGATGTTTAAAATTAATTGTTTCACTGGTTAGATATTTTTTCACTCTACTTATTTCACCTGAGCGAATGGCGTCAAATAAACAGTGTCCCTTGTATTCATTTATGATTCTTATTTGAAGTTCTTTATTCGGTGCTATATCAATGGCCGTTTTATCATGACAGTTGTTAAGGTAAGGATCAGCTCCATGGGCAAGTAGAAGAGAGCAAACTTCAACCCGCATTTTGGAGGCTGCTTCATGTAATGGAGTAAACTGCCATAAATCAGTGGCATTCACATTGGCTCCATGTTTAATGAGTAACTCGGCAACCTCAAAATGCCCATATGAACAAGCATTGTGAAGTGGCACTAAACCACCTTTATCCTTGGCATGGACATCTGCACCATACTGTAAAAGTATGTTCACTATTCTCATTCGATTGTAACCAGCAGCAAGGTGTAACGGTGTTGACCGTCTACCATCACTAGCATGACAATTCACATTTAAGGGTGTTAATAATGCCATTAATTTTTCTTCATTTCCATTTCGTGCTGCTTCAAGCAACTCTTCTTTACCATAAAGGCCCATTAAAACAGATTGGGCTGTTCTATCAGCTAAATCAAGAGGAGTTCGTCCATCAGCATTCATAATATTGTGATCTGCACGGGATTGAAGTAAAACTATACAAACATCAACTTTACCCTTGATGGCTGCTTCATGGAGAGGTGTAAAGTTCCAATTATCACGAGCATTAGGGTCAGCGCCATGTTTAAGTAACATTTGGACAACCTCGGCATGACCAAAGGAACAAGCATTGTGTAAGGGAACTAAACCGCCATCATCTTTAGCATGAACATTGGCACCGGTATTGAGAAGATAATTAACAATATCTTTGCGACCAAATCCGGCAGCATAGTGAAGTGCAGTTGACTTACGTCCATTATTATCTCGAATATTTACATTTGATTTGTTAACCAATTTTTTAACCTTTATTAAATCACCATTGCGACAAGCATGAAACAGTTCTTTGTGTGGATCAATAGTTATACCCGCGGAGGAAGGCATTGACAACACCGTTGGTCCCACTGTTATCATTTTTAAATTATATTAATTTGGTATCAATGGGTGAGAAGAAAACTCATAAATATAATAAACATTGATTGGGATTTAAAATAAACACAAAATTTCAGTAGCAATCATTAAATTGGTAAAGCACAAGCATTGACATAGAAAACACTGTCAGATGAAGTCATATCAGTAGTAATCATTGATTTGGTAAAACACAAGTATTGACATAGAAACACTGTCAGATGAAGTCGTATCAGTAGCGATCATTAAATTGGTAAAACACAACCATTGACATGGAACATTGTCAGATGAAGCCAAGATGATTCCAGATTAATTATGTGAGTATTTTTCAGCATCGAATGTTTCGGCTAAGCTAAGTGTAGGAGAAATTGTAGAGAATTGAACAATGGATGGAAATCCATAGCAGAGAGAACAAGAATAATGAGAAAGATTTAATAAAGAATATAATAATTTATATACTTCAAATGATATAACAAGATGAGAAAGAAAGGAAAGATAAGCCAGAGAAAGAAAGAGAAAGAGAGGATATAAAAGAAACTTACTCTACATTTGACAGAAAAAAAATGGTCACAGCGTCTTGTAAAAGTAAAAACACAAAGAAAGGTAACAAATTAACCCGTCAGATTAAATTCATCTCTGAAGTGGTGATATTTGATGAATTTAAGAAAATCAAACACAAATTGATGGATAAAACAGAATAGTAAACAAGTTGATGAAAATTGTCAATCTATTCATTACTTCAGTTAGTTTACTGAACATTGAAACCTTTGTACTTCACTCATCATCCCACATCCAACTCACTGAGGGGAGAGCCTCTGGGAGTGGCTTTTCAGCGCTGCCATCTCTTACTGTAGTTTCAAATTAAACAACAAATTACAGTTTTTTATCAAAACTGTTACTAAAAGATGATTAAAAAGATAATCAGAGTTGGAAATAGCAACAACTCCAAGTCTAATCAATTGATTAATAGGTTAATAATCGTATTTTCACAAGAAATTGCTTGTAATTAGCTGATTATAATCCAAGCATCAAAGTTTTGTCACAGATTTTGGATAATCAACGGATTCCAAATAAAATTGTTGCTTGATGATGAATTTTCGTTGAAAAAAAATGACACATGGAATATTTAAGACAATGATTGGGATTAAATAAGACAAAAGAAGTGTAATTTTGGCCTTCAGAATTTCGAGAAATTTAAAATGTCGAATGAATTGTGAGTAAATGAATCTTTCCTTGTGGCTTCGATTGGCTTCAACTTGACATAACTTTTATATTATTTGGTAGCAAAAAAGCCAACATTAATCGTAATTCAAGTTAACATGGGATTAAAGATGAATTTACACATTTGGAGATGTTTTTTCCTTTAATTTTGATAACTTTAATCCTTCAATTGTATCGATAGGAACAATTTTAACGAAACTAAGAAACGTTGAACTGGAACTTGACTTTTGATTTTTTGGATGAAATCTTCCTTCTAAGGTTGTTGGGTAATGTTTTTTTTTTGATTTTCACATGAAAACAAATGGGTAATAAGTTCACAATTAATTTAATAACTTGATTTTTGTGATTAAGTAAGGATGTGTTTGGGACTTTTGATAAGTAAGTTATAAGTAAAATGCAATAATATTGAATAAGATCAGAAGGCAATGACTGTTACACAACATGTAACTCACCAGTTGAAAAAGAGCGGTAATCAAAAAATGCGGTCAATTCAAAAGTTATTAATTAACTGGTTGAAATAAAGCAAAATCAGCATCGATTTAAGCACTATTTTGTTACCATAGACTAAAATTACTCATTTTGAAAGCGCACAGCGTTTGTCCTTATTTTTTACGTTCGTTTCCTTGATATTTCTTAAATTAATTTGTATTTAAAGTGAACAAAAAAAGTGCATTCTTTCATTTTCCAAGTTAATATTTTTAATATTCTTGTAAAAAAGCTGTCATTTTTAATTTGAATTCATTCCAAGTATTTCTTAGAGACCCTTCATTTTGATGATTTAACTCAATTTCATGAAATTTTTTATCCATTCATTGAACTCTAGTTACCCAAGTCGAAGTGAAGACATAATTATAATTTTAATTCCTTAAATCACGATCTTTCTGCCAACCAGGACTTTGGCTTGGACCAACAATCAAATGTGACAACTTTTTTTCGTACTTCGAGCAGTATAGCATCGATATGGCCCATTCTTTGCTAATTTTACCTCCAAAATATAAGATACCTTCATTTAGATATTAAATATGAAGTATTGTAATAATGTAGTCAATGTCGAGTTGTTTCTTTATCGATGCATTGACACCATTGCCAGATGATTCTTACATGATGAACTATTTCGCATTTTACAAGAGTCAATTCCAAGTTGGACTTTCGATTTACTTTATGATCACAGATGGATACAACTATTCTGATCTAGCTCAAAATCGTCTTTGCGGTGAATCTACTTGTGATAAAGATTCAGTCCTCAAAATATTCTCAGTGCCTAACCAATGAACTCGAATGTGAAACCTGCCTCGATGACATGAGAATACGTCCAATGGGCAAAGAGTTTGACCAATATTTGCCTTTCTTTCTTAACCAAAATCCAGGTGAAGAGTGTCTTTCTGGTGGTAAAGCTTTGTTTTCTGGCTCAGTCAAGTTAGTTAAAGATAGCAAGGGAGATCTTAGGGCTGGTCCAACCTTCTTAATGGCCTATCGAAAGTCCCTTAAAACATCTAAAGATTTTTACTAATCTCTTCGTATTTCATGTCAAATCGCCAATAAATTCACTAAAAACTTCAAAAAAGTGGTTTGACTAAAGCAACTGTATCAACTTATGGCCTCATAGATCTTTCTGCGAGCAATATTAAACTATGTGGAGTGACACAGCACGAATATGCCTTGCTATTGGCGTAGTTTTGGGTAGTATTTTAGTTTTAGCCTTTTCAGAATCAATCAAGACCAATTGAGACCTTTAGTTTAGCTCCATTACACAAGGCTTTAAGTCATGTCAAGCTGTCCAGATGTTACGCAGACCCTAATGCTCGTGATAATTGGAACTTTACACCTCTCCATAAAGCAGCCATCAAGGGTAAAGTTTAAGTTTGTATAGTTTTAATTTAATCCCGTGCAGATCACAATATTATGAATGCTGATGTAAGTTTATTACTAAAAAGACACAAACAAAGCACAAACAACACAATTGTAACATTTTTGCAAAAATTGACACAAACACTGAAAGACAAATGGTTCTAAACGAATGAAATTTGCTTTCTCTCAAATTTCAACTCAATAAGTTGGTAGGGAAATGAAATCTGAATCCATTAGTGCAGTTTAAAGGTTTCCCTGATGAACAGTTTTCGAGAAAATCAAGTTCGAAGTTGAAACTTAAATCGCTTTTTGCGCAGCTATCGAAGCAGATTTTTTTATGAAACTCATTTTGCTAATTCAACTTTTTATCATCAACCAGAAAATGCACTTATTTTAAGAAATAAAACTTTTCTTTTTCCGTTATACGGATAAGTTCGATTTTCAATTAAACCGACCTTTTTCTGTGACCATAAAACTTAGAGACTTGAAACTTATTATGCGACCACAAAAATCGGTGATACACATCATGAAGCGTTTAGTTTTATGAAGTTATCAATAGTTCTCTTGATTTTTGATCACTGGTCTAAAAAGTTTGAGCACCGATATTTCGAGAATGCCATCACTTGCAGTCATCATTATTTCGCAAATATACTTCTTTACTGATTAATAACTTAATCCAAGTCAATAATTTTCAAATAGCGCTTTTGGTTCATGATATTTGGGTTTGAAGGGTACGAGAAACAACTTATTCAACAAGCAAAACACATCTCAACTCATTTCTTGGTAAATAAACCAATTTTCTGGTTAATCCTGCAAATGAAATATAAAAAATGCTGCTAAAGACTCGAATATTTGGTTAAAGATTTGAAATTTAGTGTGATTTTTAGGGACATAGAAACTGAGTCGATTGGTGCTATTAAATAATTTATCCGATGCACAGTTTTTGAGAACATCGAGGTCAAAGTTACAACTTCGATCGATTTTTTTTCAGCTATGGAAACAGATTTTTTAGCAAACTCATTTGCCTGATGTATCTTCTGATGACCAACCATAAAATGGGCTTATCTAGAGAAATTGCATTTTCTGTTTTGCAAAACAGATCAAGTTAGTTAAACTGTCGATTTTCAGTTAAACTGACCGCATTCTGTGACCGTATGAGTTAGAGAGCTGAAACCTGATAATTGTCCATAAAAATTGCTGGTGCACATCAATGACGAAAAACTTTTTTCTATTTATCAACATTTCACTTAATTTTGGCCATTCACCTAAGAACTTTGACCCTCAGTATTTCGATATCTGTATCATCTACAATAACCATTCTTTGACCAAACATTGAATTTCATTATTGGCTATAATGTATCAAAATTTTAAATCTTTCTAGATGGTGCAAAAAAAGTTACAACATTGTATTATTCATGATACCAGATTTGAGCTTTATTTATAAAGTTAAATTGTAACTCAAACACACAACTTATGTGTTAGAATGATATTCATCATTAAATGAATTAGGTAAATTTTATTCTATATTCAATCATATCATGTTGTAGCCCATAATGAAATCTAATGATTGGTGAAATAGTGATGAATGTAAGTGATGCCATTCTCGAAATATCTGTGCTCAAAGTATTAAGGCCAATGGCCAAAAATCAAGAGAACTATTGCTAACTTGAAAAAACTGTATGCTTCACAGTGCGTATCACCAATTTTTATGGTCACATATTAAGTTTCAAGTTTCTAACTTTTATGGTCACAGAAAATGGTCGGTTTAATTGAAAATCGAACTTATCCGTTTAACGGAAAAAGAAAAGTCTTAATTCTTAAAATAAGTGCATTTTCTGGTTGATAATAAAAAGTTGAATTAGCAAAATGAGTTTCATAAAAAAATCTGCTTCGATAGCTGTGCAAAAAGTGATTTGAGTTTCAACTTCGAACTGGATTTTCTCGTAAACTGTTCATCAGGGAAACCTTTAAATTGCACTAATGGATTCAGATTTAATTTCCCTACTAACTTACAGAAATTAAATTTGAAAGAAAGCAATTTTTACCGGTTTTTGCCCATTTGTCTTGGAGTGTTTGTGTCAATTTTTGCAAAAATGTTACAATTGTGTTGTTTGTGTCTTTTTAGTAACAAACTCACACCAGCATTCATAATACATGTATTATGATTAGCACTGGCATATTAACAGTGTCATCAAAAGATACATCAGGCAAATGAGTTTGCTAAAAAAATCTGTTTCCATAGCTGAAAAAAGGCGATCGAAGTTGTGATTTTGACCTCGATTTTCCCGAAAGCTGTGCATCGGATAAATTATTTAATAGCACCTATCGACGCAGTTTCTATGTCCCTAAAAATCATAATAAGTTTTAAATCTTTAACCAAATATTCGAGTCTTTAGCAGCATTTTTTATATTTCATTTGCAACATTAACCAGAAAATTGGTTTATTTACCAAGAAATGAGTTGAGATGTGTTTTGCTTGTTGAATAAGTTGTTTCTCTTACCCTTCAAACCCAAATATCATGAACCAAAAGCGCTATTTGAAAATTATTGAATTGCATTGAGTCATTAATCAGTAAAGAAGTATATTGGCGAAAGAATGATAACTGTAGTTGATGCCCGTCTCGAAATATCGGTGCTCAAAGTTTTGCGGCCAAAGGCCAAAACCAAGAGAACAATTGTTAACTTGAAAAAATTAAACAATTCATGGTGTGTACCATTGGTTTTTATTGACGCATGATGAGTTTCAAGTCTCTAGCTTTTATGGTCACAGAAAATGGTCGGTTTGAGTGAAAATCGAACTTACCCGTTTAACGGAAAAAGAAAAGTTTTACCTCTTAAAATAAGTTCGTTTTCATGTTGATTATCAAAATTTACATTAGCGAAATGAGTTTTATTAAAAAATCTGATTCCATAATTGTGCAAAAAGCGATTTAAGTTTCAACTTCGAACTCGATTTTCTCGACAACGGTTCATCAGAGAAGTCTTTGAATTACACAAGTGCTTTTAGATTTAATTTCCTTACTAACCAACAGAGTCTGAATCAGAAAGAAATCAATTTTTACCCGTTTTTGCCCATTTAACTTGCAGTGTTTGTTTGAATTTGTGCATAAATGTTACAATTGTGTTGTTTGTGTCTTTTTAGTAACAATCATGGTGTACAAACTCCTGAAGAAGAGTTGCTTGAAGCAGCACGAAATGGAAATGAAGAAAAATTAATGGCATTATTAACACCCTTAAATGTGAATTGTCATGCTAGTGATGGTAGACGGTCAACACCGTTACACCTTGCTGCTGGTTACAATCGAATGAGAATAGTGAACATACTTTTACAGTATGGTGCAGATGTCCATGCCAAGGATAAAGGTGGTTTAGTGCCACTTCACAATGCTTGTTCATATGGGCATTTTGAGGTTGCCGAGTTACTCATTAAACATGGAGCCAATGTGAATGCCACTGATTTATGGCAGTTTACTCCATTACATGAAGCAGCCTCCAAAATGCGGGTTGAAGTTTGCTCTCTTCTACTTGCCCATGGAGCTGATCCTTACCTTAACAACTGTCATGATAAAACGGCCATTGATATAGCACCGAATAAAGAACTTCAAATAAGAATCATAAATGAATACAAGGGACACTGTTTATTTGACGCCATTCGCTCAGGTGAAATAAGTCGAGTGAAAAAATAATATCTGGTATTACATTGACTGACTGTGTTAAATTAGTTTTAGCATTTGCAAAATCAAAAATTTTCCAAATATTTTATTTCCGAATGTACCTTGGAATCATATTATTGGGAACATTGCATAGTTTAATATTCCTTCCAGTATTATTAAGTATAATTGGACCGCCACTGAATGAACAGAGGCTTACTTTAATGGCAAACAAATCAAAATCATCGTCATCATTCCAGGTTGCATCTGAACTTTCCTCTTCCAAATATCGGGAAAATGACTCAAAGAAGGAACAAAATGAGAAATGCTGAATTATTTAAAGATTTTTATTCAATCAAACAAAGCGACACAATCAAAGATGATTCGCGTATTACAAAAATTGTATTAAAATGAAACATACAACAAACAATTTAGATCCTTTGATGGCGCAGCGTTTGCTGTTGATTTAAAGCAATGATTATAAATATATTAATTAGATGACTGGATGCAATAAATTAAATGAGCAGTTAGATAGATTAACGAAGAAACTGCTTTTAAAGCTAAAGCCATCATTTTTAACTCGCCTTTGTATTCCCAAGCAACCAATTGTACCGCATTTGTATGTAGCTGTAACTTAGGGACTCAACTGTAGCGTCTACAGGATATGCAAAACCAATGGTGACATCAGACCCACCATATCTGACTACCTTAAACTCAATCTGAATCTCGCCCTGCCTCAAATTACGCTTAAACGTCCAAAAATCTGTTATAAACTCCTAGAAATGTATATGTTTTGTAAACGATTGGAGGTATAAAATACAATGAAACATGACTGATCTCAACTGATTTATCGTCATCTAAAAGGTATTCTGCTACTTCAATGTTAATTGTCCGCTAATATAATACCCGCTGCAAGGTAAAGTGGTCTTGAATTAAGTCTCTGGGAATAACGACAGTTAATATTTTCTGGAGTGATATGAAGGATTTTTAACCTCCTAAAGGATACTTTCATAGCAACATAAATATACATCCGATAATTGATATTGACCACTCATTAGAGAGAGCTTTTCATAGCAATCAGGGTTTAAAATTTGACTCCAATGAAGTTTCCATGCACCAGCATCCAGAGATACAGAAGACTTCCATTAGTCTTCCATAGACTTAACATAGACTTAGTATTTCTTATCAACACAACTTTCAAACTAAACGTTCCAGCAATGTTTTGAGCAAACCAGCACGTTCCTCTTGACCTGTCCTCTCCTCTCAAGTTATTAATGTAACAATAAAACAGCGTTCCTGTGGTTTCAAATATGAGTGCCTGGATCAATGATAGAAGCGCATTGAAACATTTGTCACAGCCATAACTTTAGTGTTGCCTCACTCTAAATCATGATTCATTTGTCAACAAGTTTCTCTTCATCTGATCTATCCATTCAAACTATTAGAAGCATAATTCAATTATGCCTCAAATGGTCAGAATTGGCAAACGCAATACGTCTAGTTTAAATTAGTTTGACTCGGAGCAATCAATTCAGGTATTACTTCAAATTGATTCATGGCAGATGATATCGTTCGACCATAGCTGTTAGTCAACAGATTCGGAGCAAATCAGATTTAATCTCCAATACTTATTTTCATTTGAAATGGCCAGAGATTGTTCTGTAAATCGATGATTACTCAACCTACTTGATTTGAATACTACTGAGGTGAACATTTATTAATAATTGGGTTTACACAAGGTTCAGGTTGTATTTGCATTGACCTTTTCTATACGAAAGATTATAACAGATTATCATTGAACCGATGTCTAATTGATGAAAGCTTTACAACCAACAGAGATTAACTGAAAATCACTATTATATGATCTTTACCATCCATTGTAACAATAGTCGATACAATAATATTGTCATTTGTGGGCAAACAATTGGTTGATCTTTGGTCTATCTATTAAATTACAAGGCAATCCTTTAAACTAACCGTAGAGTGAAAGGTGAAAAAACTTGTTAAATAAAGTCTAATTTTTGATTAAGGATGAAATTGGATAAAGCCTTATAACAAATCTGGTTAAAGAAGCCAAATATAAAACAAAATCAATAGCAATAGTTGTCAATGTTATCAAATCATTACTGATCCTCTTCATGGCTATCATCAATATGAACGTTACAATACAAACTAAGTTTGCAATTAATGGAAGCTTAAATTAAAGCTTTTTACATCAATTGTTAATCAATTCAATCAACTGTTGTTTTTGTGATTATTATGGAAGATTGGTTGAATTGAATTCACCTCGATGAGTAGCATGTCAATGAATGGCTATCAATTAATGATTAAAGCTAATATTTTGATTTGAATAGCATTTCTTAGCACAAAATACCCTCGAATATTAGTTAATAGATCAATTATTAATAAATTGCTGTAAACAAACATTGTATTGATGTTATCGGCTAAGAAAACATAAAGTTTGTCTCTTGATGAAAGCTCTAGGAAGCAACTCAACAATCCAATTAATGTGAAACTAAAGTCTTAATGAGCAATTTGAGCCAACTTTTCTAGGTTCAACATAAACATTTGGTTTGCTGCTAGTAATTGCCATCAGTAATAAGAAGACAAAATGATTTATGTAAACAATCAGACTTTATCTGTTTCTTTTTTTTCTCAAGAATCTGGTTCATTATTTGTTTTTATGTATAATAATCTATTATGGTGAACAGAAAAGTGAGTCTACATTGAATCAAAAAATTGTGTTCATTTTTTGTTCTGTTCTGTTGATGTAATTGTTATTTTGTTTTCTCAAAATTAAAAGATTTGGCAAACAATGAGAATGAGCTGGAGTTGATTTGGTTTGTGTTGTCATCATGGTTATGTAAGTCTTTTGATCATTCCAATGAGGTTGAAAAGATGACAATGTTGTGTAGTTATGGCGGTGAATGATGATGATGATGATGATGGTGATGATAATGGTGCAACTTTCCTGTCCATTTTATTGGTTTCTTGACCCAAGACAAGAAAAGGAAAGACAGAAACTGAGCCGATAATGTGATCCTTATTTAGTTATTACAATAATTAATATTATTTTTTTACAATTGATATTGATGATAACTGTGAAAGCATCAGGTTACTTGATTGTTTACGTTGATCTATGAATATGATGAAGAAAAAAGAGTTTACTGGTGATCAGGAAGAGATATTATTGACAGCTAATCATCCCAGAGTAAACAAAGTACTGTCAATGTGTCTAAAGGTATCCATCTCGTATAATGTATTATATATATATTATGTATAAGGAAGTTCATTCAGGATAAAGATGATATTGATGAAGATGAAAACCATGATGATGATAATGCTGCTGGTGACGATGAAGATGAAGTAAATTTACAATGGACGATGGTAATCAAGTTGAACAGTTGCAATAACAAGTAAGGTTTGCCTTCCTGATGATGATGATCTTTACCTTACGGAAACAATCCTTTATTTGCATGTTCCATCAAAATTTATTGTTTGTTCTGTAAAAAAAGAGGAAAAGAGAAAATAAATTTGTTGAATATGGAATTTTATTAACCATAGATGATTGAATTGATCACTACTTACCAAAATGATGGTTGGATCAGATGAAAAATCAACGAATGAAAACGATGAAAAAGGTGACTGTAATGAGACAAAAAAGAGGCGAAAATGGAAGGATTTAAAGGATTAGGATATAAGGACGGATTAGGACTGGAAGAAATGGTAATTCAATAGAAAAGCTGAGAATGAGTCTCGCAATTTAATTAACAATGATCAATAAAACGTTATTTGTTGTCTGGATCACTAAAGTAAAATACAATCTTATTGAATAAGATCAGAAGGCAATGACTGTTATAACAGATGAAAAAGAGCGGTAATCAAAAAAATGCGGTCAATTCGAAAATTATTAATTAACTACACAAAATGATGTTTGAATTAGATTTAGATACTTAATTATCCTTATTGTAATCATTTATGGCTTTCTATTGAATTTGTTTCATGTTAACAAATAAGATAATAAATAAGCTTCAATGCAATGTAAATTTTTATCATCTTCAAAAGTCGCGCTTTCTACGTTGTAAACAGATTTCAGTTTATTGTTAAGAGTATTTCTTACTCGTCGGTTGATTATATTTCAATAAAACATTATGCTTTGTTTATCGCTTAGTTTACTTATTATTTAATCATGTAATTATCTGATTGTGACACTCAAATGGTTATTGTAAAGATCCTAATCAACTGTGACAGCATTTACATTATTTTTCAATAGGTAAGCTTTTTGTTTCATTATTACAATATTATTTTGTTGAGGAAAAAAAATCTTCCAGTTATCAAGCCTATTGTCAATGATTGTCTCATTGAATGCAAATTTTTTCAACACCTTTTTCTCGTCTCATTCATTAATTTAACCTAATCATTTGTGACATTTGATACTAATCAAATTAAATTATACAAACGATTGAGAATCGATGAAAAAAAGATCAAAGAACAACAATTTGATCGCATTTTGTCATTAAAATTCTTGATATTCTGTTCATTGTTTCTTAATGCTATCAGTAAAACCATTAACTTAGAGGTAAAAAACTTGAGATTTTATTGAATGATTGAATTATTCATTAAAGTGGTTTTTAACCAACCACCGATTACAGTTGATCAGTAATCATGATCAAAAAATTATTCCTTTACTGTCTCAAGTATTCAACTAAAATCAGATATTTTCACGAATGATAAAAAGTATTCAGATTTGTCGTAAATTGTCAACTTTTAGTTAACCATCGAGCTTAGATTGAAGATTGAAACTAATTCAGGAAGTGAAGATGATATTAATGATTTTAGCTGAAAAAAGTAAGTTTTTTGTCAGCTTGATACTTAAATTTAAAAGCTTGTCAAACAGTTTTAAAACAAAACCAATCTTAATTAGCTTTAAAACCAATCAATTTCAAAATATTTTTTTTCGATCAATAAGATTCTGCTTAACATGTATTCAATTTGAATCGAAGTAAATGTTAAACAAATGTTAATTACTACATTATGGATCAACTGAAGGCTTAACTCCAGCAATGAAAATTTAATTGAATCTAATGAAAGAGTCCAAGTTGGATCGATTTTCAATTGGCCGTAATTTTTAAAGGCAAAGCTCTTTGAATAAATTGAATATTGATTGAATATTTAAAACTAATTTTCTGGATAAAATTGTTCATTTTTTAGGCCTTCTTAATGTCAATCAAATGGCCAAGGAAAAAAATGGTTGAAAAATTGCAGAAAATGTACAAAAAGTTAAACTTCCTGGCAATTGGTGGATACCTTTTGTTATAATTTGGCATCAACATGGTGAAGAAGTTCTTGTTTTTCCCGATCTCTACAATCGACATTTAAACATACTTTTTTGGTACAATTAACAAACAACTAAAAAAGTCAAGTCAATAGGTTCAATAAGATGGTGAATGTAAAGCATGACAACGAGAAAAAAATCCGCCACATTTGAATCAATTTTCATAAAAACCGCTTCTTCACCCAACAGCAGGACAAGAATCTATTCACCTGCTTCTTGATTCAATTAAACGCAACCTTCATTGTTTTTCATCTCTTTTTTCATTGATCAACTATTGATATTAAGGAATCACAAGGAAGTGCAATTTGGTAAGTTACAATTAACTAAATATCATTTTTTGTCACCAAGAACTGTTATTTTTCGCTGCTGTCTTTTGGTTGCACTTACAGGTTTACCTTTCTTTACTTTATCTAATCCTCTTTCATATCTCTTTCTCCTCCTTCTTGTCCTATGTTTAGTGTCGGTTTAAGAGATCGTTCTCGCCTTATTTTCAATCAATAATTTGCGATCGAATCTAAATTGTAAAATGGTTAAATGGTTACTTGTTTATCCATCAAATGGTACCATCCATGAACAATGGACAATATTTACCCGCCTGTATTGGTCTACTCCTCCCATTACCTCAACAGTAGCTAAGTTATGGTAAGTTGATCGTTTATAAATAATTAGTGATCTTTCTTTTAATCAACAGTTGATACTCAGTTAACTTTCACTTCAATTGACTCTAAATTTACAATTTACTGTATTGACTTCAAGTGCTTCTTATTTATCATTTGTTTCAGACACGAACCGTTACGTTGAATAGCGATTGGATATATTTACTGAATACTAAATTGAAAGAAAATCAGGAGAAAAATGTTTACCCGTGGAATAAGTGTTTACCTAATTGTTGGACTAACCATAGTTAACCTGAGTGAATTAACGGTTGGTGAAAAAGAAAGATTTGCCAATTTTTATGCTGCTCCAGCCAATTTAGAGCTTATTGCAATGGCCAGTGAAAACTCGCCTCACCATTCTCAGCGCTCTTCTTATCGCGACCATTCTCATAACCAACATCATCAACAATCCAGACACCAATCTCAATCTCATCCAGAATATCGGGGCAAATCATCAGCTCCACCATCCAGAAAACCTTCTTCTGATTACAATGATGAACCCAGGTTTTCCATTGGTTTAGGAACCCTGGCTCCATCTTATTCTCAAAAGTTTGGTGTTGATGGAAAAACTCGCCTCGATTTTGATCATCGGGCTAATGGATTTTCTTACACTTTAACCAATAATCATCACCCAGGACCACAAGAAGATCAACAAGGCTATGAGGCTTCTCCACAAGATTCAAAGGTTAGTAAATAAATCCAGCATCGATTAAAAAATCTGAGCCAAAAACTTCCTATTCAGTAAAGTCTAGTACTCTAGAATTTAGACGAAAGTTCAGATTTCTCAGTGAAAGTCATTGGAGATCAACATTCAGAATGCAGAGTTTGGAGTTACAATTAGTTTTCTTGAAAACTATGCCCAGATTAATGAATATTTACAGTTCAATCGTGAATACAAATCTCTTAAGATTCACGAAAACGTCTTTTAGTTAAAATAGCATCAGGTTGTTTTTACAAATAAAGTTGGTTTTAAATTAATTAATTTTTTTGTTCTTCTCTTTCTCACAACAAATATGAAATGAACAATATTTACTGTTACAATCAAAAAGTCTGCTGATGCTAATGTTAAAATCTATTATGATCAACGGTTCTCACCTTATGCTGCTGCTGAGACAAACAATTATGTTTCACGAGTTCCCTACATGATAAGAAATCCTCAACCATACGGGCTTCGTCCCCTCCAAGATCAACGTCAAGATTCTGATAACTCAAGATTATCTGACATATTTGCTAGATATGCACCAAAACAAAACGAACAAAACCAAGAATATAACGAAGAAGCTAATCCCAATGGTGGACCTGGAGGTCCATATTACGCTCATGGTCATGAATCTCAAGCTGCACCACCTGCTTCTGGTCGTGAATATCATAATGACATGTATAGCCCAAGATTTGACGAAAGTCACCGTAAACAAGGAGCATCTGAATTCCCTGAAATTGGTGGATCTTTCTTTGAATCATCTTCAGATGATGACGGTTCTGATGGATACAATTATCCTCTTCCCTTCCAAAAGAAAGACTCTTCAAGTTTTATGAGCTCACATCCAGAAGGATCACTTGAATACATTAGTCGAATCGCTGGAGGACCCAGCGAATTCAATGAATTTTCTCATGATTCTAACCCTGAACCCGTTGTTTTCAGCTCAATGGCCAACTCTTACAGTGGTCTAGATAGTAATGATGCTTTCTCAGCTTACATTGCTGGTCTTCCATTAACTCCTTAACTTTTCTACAATTCATTTTAGAATCTCTTTTTTTCAAAAAATTATTCAATATACTTAATCAACTCACCTGTTTTTAACTTTGTAAACATAAATTACTCTATTTATACTAATCATCAAAATCAATTGTAAAAAGTTGTAAGCAATAACCGTGTAAAATAATCAAGAATCAAAGTATTAATTTCTCAAATTTGAGATGTTTGTAAAGAATTTGAATTTCTCATTATTTGTCATAAAATCAAGTTGTATATGATTATATTTAATAATAGAAAAGTGGATGAAATTCACTTTTCTTAATAAAACAAAATTTACCAAAACTAATCCCTAATTTGGTTAATTTTAGTCGATTGTTTGCAAGTTTTCTATTTCTATCAAATAAGCGAAAAGATAAATTTCGTATCAATTTGGTGAATTATTACATTTACGTGAGCTGATTTTTGTAAAAGTTGAAATGAAAATCCATACAACTGGTTTTGATAAGATGAGTTTCAATCATTGAGCAGAATTGTAATGTTGAAATGAAATACAATCAACTTCCCAAAATTGTCACTATCTTGTGCAACAGAGTAAGAAAATAATTACAATTTGCATTGGATTGAGTTTAATTTATTATCTTAATTGTGTATAATGATGAATTTGTTTACCCGTTTAATGTACATTAACTGTGCACTATGTATCTTGTTTTGAAATTAATGTTAAATGAACTTTGCAATTGAAGCGTTTTTCCTCATTTAAAGATGTTCATCAAGGGACGATTTTGGATAGTTGACTGATTTTCTGATAATTTTACTCTTTTTGATGGCTGATTATTTTCAACACTCAGCATTAATTTTTTGATACTAGATAATCAATTGTTCAATTTTGCAAATTTGTAACCAAGTTGAAGTGATAATGATGATGGTAATTTACAATTTCGGAATGTAATAATAATGATGAAAGGTACCCCTAGTGATGAGGAAGTGGTTATGGAGAAAGAGAAAGAAAAAGATGCACAAAAAAAAGATGGGAAAAGGATGATAGCAGTGATGATCGAAGGAGGATGAAGAGCTGCATAAGAAGATGGAAAGAAATGAGTTGCTGGGATGTTGTTGATTATTGTTACGAAGGATGCGCATGATGATGAACATGGTGAGATCGATAATTGGGAGGAAGAAAAGGCAAACTCAGGCGATAGTGAAAAGACTAGAAAAGGTTGACTGAACGGGATGTTATGTGATTATGAGAATAAGAATGGAAAAGGCAAAGGAAAAGTTGTTATGGATTCTGGTTTTACTCTCTTTTTTTTGTCCAACCAACAAAAAATAGAGTCAAGGATAAAACATGTAAACACAGTTTCAAATGTTGAACAAGGGTGATGGCAAGGGTGAAAAAGGCTTAAGAAATGACAATCACTTCACCATCCGATTGTGCATAATGATAAGTGAATGCGTAAAGGAATTGAAATTAAGTTAATTTAAATGAAAATACAGATGGAGTCAGAGGTATCTTCAATGAAACGAAACACAAACTGAAAAAAGGAACAGAAAAAAAGGAATGAAAAAAAAAACTAAAAAATAAGGTTAACAGAAGTAAAATTGATTTTTGTTTACCTTTTTTTTGCTGTTGGCTGGCCTGACTTTGTCATGAATCAGGATGAGCTAAGATAGTTTCAAGATTGTAATGATGATGATAAGAAAGGACATTGAAAGTGGATGACAGGATTAAAATTTGGTCGCTTGAGTTGCTCTCATCACCAAATCATTGTCCGCCTAAAAAGAAGATGAAAAGACAAGAGGGAAAAGCATTGTAATTGAAGAAATAATATTTACCTTGAGTTTTGATAATCCGTAATAATAATTGTCATTTATATTTCACTTTTTTTAGACTCATTCTCATCTTCATCTCATCTTTTATATACATGTATATATAGATATCATTTTGAGATGAGTCTGATGATAGAAAATTGTCTTCTTCTGATTTCTTATTCACCTTTTAGGTTCTTCTATTAATCTCTTCTTGTCTTGTCACATTATTAAACATGTTTTAAGATCTCATCTTTTCTTTTCACAATAAACCAATCAATCCTTTAATCAAATATGCTTCTGGTTCTGGATCAAGCATGGAAAGTTGGAAATGATGTGTTCCTCTAAGAAAAATATAAATAAAAATATGGATAAAGATGAAAGTAAATGGGGAAAAAACAATAAGATAAATCATTCAGACTGTGCGTATGTTGTGTGCTATAGCACATATAAATAAGACAAGGGACCAAAAAAAGAACAATAATCTCTCAATTGAGGCTTGGTTTGGCTTAGTTTTTTGTCTCTTGATTCACAATTTGTATATTATATGTTTGTTTGGTCATCCAAGTCATCATCTTTACCATCATCTACTCCTTATACCCATCATTGAACCATTTTTATTCATCGATTCATTGTCAATCTTTTTCTTTCTTCTCCTCGGCCAATTGCATGCAGGTCAACCGTAAACATCAGGTTATCAAAATAAAATCAGATGAAAGGATAACAGATAATAAACAAAGAAGTAACTAATAAAACAAATAAACAAACACAAAAAAAATCATATTTATAAATAAAAATAACCTTTAATTTTTCATTGTAAAACAAAATGATACAAAAATTAGCAAAAAAAGCTAAATTCAAATTTTTCGCAAAAACCGCTTTAAATTTATGTCGCCATCTATTGAATGTAAATGAGATGTCCAAGTGTTATTTCCCGGTTAAGTGAAAATGGGTTTACCATTTTTATTGATTATTAGGCGATTTTGATTAATAACTACTTCCATTTTCAACAGTTATCTAGTTTAATCATTAATTCTTACTTCCATCCTTAATTGAAACCTCTACAGTTTATTTTTATAGTCTGTTACACTATTTGTTAATCATTTGTTGGTGGTCAATCAAAAGATACTCTTGCTTAGTAACAATCAAGGTAAGTTATTTACTCAATACTAATTGTAAATTGTAGTTGATTGTTTAATAAATTAGATTCTGGGTTGTTGAATAGCTTTACAAGCTAAATCAATACAAGCTTAAGGTTAATGATACCGTTACATCGTTTGGCTATAGAAAGCATTGTTTTGAAAATGCTGTCAATCTCCTATTAGGATGCTTATTAAATTTATTGGTGTCATGTTGAGTTATAAATGAATTTTCCTTTTCTTGAAAATTATCCCATTGAAAATCATGTTATTTTGAGGCAGAAAACCATTTCTTTGTAGCCTTTCCATGTGCTATTTTAAATGAAAAATTGATGACAAATATAGTAAAAGTAAAAAGCTTGGTAAGTTGAATGTATTTTTCAGCAAATAGATTGATGAATTTTCAAGTGAATTTTTGTTTGCCTGAACAAGAATTTTCACCATCATTCAGATCAAAATCCATGATAAATATATGTACATATATTTCCGTATGTAATCAACGCGAAGAGAAAAAAAACAGGCAAAAAACTGAACTTACAATTTGTTAACTGTTAAAATGATTTAAACGTGAAGGGAATTTCAAACATTTGAAAACCCAGCAGATAACATTTACAACATGAATAGGTCAAATATTTCATGTTGATGATTGAAACATTTGCAAATTATTCATTTAATCATTAGGGCAAAAGATAGACAATTACCAGGTTTAATAATTTTACATTATTTGTCAACGAGTAACTCGTAACCAGAAAACTCAGAAAAAAATAGAAACAATTCTTAGAAGAAAAAATAAAAGATATTTTACGCCGATTATACTTATTGCTTGAAATTAAGTTAACTATGTTTCACTGTGAATAATAAAGTAACTGTTATTACTTTGAATTATTAACATTGAAACATTTAATTGAATGCTGGCTTAAAGTAGAGCTGGAAAAATATCCAGCAAAAAAGCAAGCTTGTTAACTTACAAGGAAAGGGTTTAATGGTTTAACCAGAGAAACGTTTTCCCAATTAATTGCAAGCAACAATTCAGATTGGTATAAATATACAGATTTAGAAGCCAACAATGATAATGATTGAAATGATGATGAGATAATTTAAGGTGAGTATCATCAGCTTCCTCAGCAATCAAGTAAAGATGCAACTTTAATCCAGTTAAATATTAACTGTTCATTGATCCAGTAAACTATTACCTTTTGATAAACTTGTACTTGATTTGTTTCTCGTATTATTGCAATTACTGTAAGAGTAAAAATTTAATCTCATTATTTCTCATTTCTTTCTATTACAGATTTACTTCAACTTTGACCAGGAATCAAATTTATGTTCAATTAAACATGGTAACCTAAACAATTTCATCCATCCTCTGAATTTTCAAACACTGACTGTTAAACCCATTTTGGTGTATTTTTCCTTCTCATGTAATTTTGGGTTCATGCTATCAATGGTTTACATTATCAAAGACAAGTGATGTGGATAAAAAACATGAAGGACTACAAAGAAAGGATGACAATAAAGACGACAATGGAGACGATAAAGATGAAATGCTGATGGAAACAAGGAAACACCAAGAATTGGAAGCACTTGAAACATGTTAATCTACGGAATGGGACGAGAAGGGTGGTGATAATGAGAAAGTTTAATACAATGGTTTCAAGTTGCTCATTAACTTTTAAAGTAACATCAATCCATTTGAATTATTGCTGTTTGAAGTTCATTGTCTATTATTGACATGAAGATAATAACAATAATTGATTGATACATAAACGAAACATCAATAGAGAGTTTGTTGTAGTCAAACTTGATCAACAACCAATTCCTTTAACTCAGCTGTATTTTGTTCAATTGAAATGGTAATCATTATGATTAAGTGTTTGCTTTCAATGTTGCATTAGGAACAATGAAATGTAAACTAGGAAACACAGAAACCAGTAAATGACGAAAAAATTATTTCATAAAATTAAGAAAATTAAAAAATTTTTTACTTCTAATTGAAACCAACGGCAATAAAAGCCTCGTTAACGTCAGTCAATGTAAACAGAATTTATTTTCAATTAATGAAAGCAAACATTAATCATCCTGAATGACAATTTGTTAATTTCCTGGTCTTTCTGGTTACAAAGTAAACTGGTGAAACCACAAAATATCTCTGATTTTCTCTGGTTATTCAAAACCAGAAAATCTAAACCCAAATACTATTCAATGTAAATCAAGATTTGTTGTTGTAATGGTTGACCAAAATAATGACAGAAATAAGAGGATAAAGATGATCTTTGGTTACCTATTCCAACCTAATCAGGATAAGGTTGGTGTTATCCAAAGGAGAGCAAAAAATCAATATTAACCTTTTCAGATTCATTTCTTAAATGATTAATGTAAACTTTTTCAGATTCATCATTATCTTTTAATCAATTGATTTAGTGGGGAAAATGTTCAACACCAGTTTATCCATCGATTCAAGGAACACACACAAAGTGAAACAACTAACAACTCTTTGATTGGCATAATAAAATAATGATAATTTGATAATGAACAGGTAAAGATGATGCGGAAGATTTTACTAATAACAATAATTTTAGATTGTAAATGAAACTATTAATATATAAAAACATTGTGTACAATTGAAAGGCATAAATGTAAAGAAACAAAAGCAAGATTTCAATGAGTTTTACTATTTTCATAGAAAGTTGAATGAGCTAATAATCTGTCAGTAACATTAACTTTTCTTACAATTTAATATTAGAGGGAACATCATTTACTGTGATATTTTTTTACACAAAATTTACTCTCAACATAATAACATTATAAAGTAAATGTTATAATATCAATATAAATGCTAGAAGGAGAAGAAAAAAGCATTAAATTTAGTTGAATAGCCTAACATCTATTACAAGGAAAAAATCAATGAGTGTTAAAATGGACAAAAGCATCGTAAGAGTGATCAATTTTGGACAATTTGAAGGAAAATTAGTCATTGACAAAACAAGAGAAAAGCCAAATTACAAAAATGAGGAATTCAACATTTAAATGAAATGGCGAACAAAAAAAGAGCTAAAATTGTGAAGTTAATTTGAATGAAATGGTTTTACAAGCAAAGTGAAACATTGGATCGATACTTGATCATGAGCATGGAAAGGAAAGTGCAAGTGAATCAAAGTGGGAGAGATGAGGTTGAAGAGGGAATGATGATGATGGAGAAAGGATTCACATGGAAGTAAATAGGAAAAGATAAAAATGGTTGGGTTAGGGAAGAATCAAACTCAAGGGAATTTCGTTGAAGAAAAGGCAAGGAATATGGAAGATGAGGATGAAGGGAAAGATGATGATGATGATGATTGAGGAAAAGATCAAGATGTTAGGTAAGATGAGTTGAAGTTGCAGTAAATTGCAACAAAATTGAAGAGTCGAATATTTTTCCTTCGTTTTTTTACTTCATTTAAACTTATTGATACAATATTAACCTGAAAAGAGTAGATTAACAACTGATCAACATTTCAACTGTAAATTGTCTCAAATTAACAGTCATTTATAATCTATTATAACAGTTAATCATTTTAAAAGAAACCAGAAATTGAACAGGAAAAGTGATTAACCTTTTTCCTTTCATTCTAATGTGTTATTTTTGGGTTTTCTGGTTGAATATGATTTCTGGTAACAGCTCAAGATGATTGATTAACCATAAAATTAAGTCTCATTCACTTGGTCTATGATGATCTCAGTAATCAAATCAAGAGTAAACATAAATAACATTTCAATCAATATTGACTATTAATAAAACAAAAATCTAAAACAATGATTTTCAGCTGAATTAAGAGTCTTCATAGTTTTAATCAAATTGTATTTAAAGCTGAAGGTTGATTATTAGCAAGAGTTGAAGATAATGTTAAAGGCGTTGGTCGTGAAAGTGTATCAACAGTTAATAATTAAAGTTGATTGTAATGGAAAAGACTAGGAAACCAGTTTTCTGGTTTCACTTTTAGGTTCACCAAGTGATACTTTAAACATTCACAGTTGAACAATAAAAAGCAATTTGAATAATTAATTAATCAATGAGTAAATTGAGTGGATAAAATGAATAATGTGAAAGTGTTGATCATTAGAGCAAAACGGATCAATTTTAACCTTTGATAGTGGCATTCAGTTTAATTGAACATGATGAGTAAGTTAATGGTTTAATGGTCAATATGTTTAATTTAAGATAGGTGTTACAATTAAATATAGATTCCTGGTGTTGATGATTAAAGCTGATAAACAGTTCAAGATCAATGTAAACCAGTTTAACATCAATCAAGAAAACTAACCCTTCAAGCAATTTGACCAATTTTCAGTAACCGTTGAAGCGTTTCAATCATCGCTATCAAAATCATCATCACAATCATCAGAATCATCAACCTTTTATAAAACATTATCAACATCATGACTTGAAATATATCATCATCTAATCAAGACCCTTGATCTAAGGTTTAATTAGTTTACAAGATGATAACAAATTATGGTGAGAAACGGTTAAAATGGTTGTTAAAACACTTTTCAAGTAACTATTTTTAAATCAAGCCAAAGGTGGCAATTTGTTGATCGACTATAAAATTTGATATTAACTCGACAATCAACTGAACTAAATTGTAAATTATGAAGAAAAACAATGAACATTTAAACAAAAAAGAGAGGAAAAAATGAGAAACAAATTGCATGAATAGTCTATTATCATGATGATGTTGACTCAAATTATGCAAGTTTTGGTAAACACAATCATAATCAAGACAAATTGTGAGATTGAAAAGTTGATTGTTGAAGCATGATTTGTACTTGAAACAAAACAAAAATGATTAATAAGCTTGATATAAGAAAATTAAATGTGTTGAAGAAAAATTAATAACACACTTGAAAGGGTTGATGTTAAAAGCTAACAAATAAGCTGATTGAATATCAAAGGTAAAACAATTAACTAATCAGATTATAAAACAAGATTTATTAACAATTCAAAATGTTAATCAAGAAAGTTGACATAAATATGGTAAAGAATAATTAATCAGGCAAATTAAATGAGAATAGAGTAAATTATGATAATTATTGGCATTCTTTAACAGTTATTATTCAATTGATCTTCACCAGACTAATACTGGAATCATGAGAACCTTTTGAATCAATGTAAATCAATTGATTTACATTTTGGATAACAAAATGTTTGAGAAACGCAAAGTAAAAAAATCTGGTTTAAGGTCAAGATTGGGTTAACCAGGTTCATTAATGATAGTTTATTAAATAATTGACTAAATGATTGATTAAATGGAAATGATTAGATGAATGTTTAAATGAAACTAAATTGTGAGAAGTAAACTTGAACTAAAAGTACATTCACATCAACAATTTTGAATAAATTATTGAATCTTGAATGTGTCTTGAATCATGAAAATTAACAATCAAATCTGTAAATAATGAAACATAATTATTAGGTCTAAGAGTCAATGTTAAGTTGATCTTTATTTATCAGACAAACTCTGTAACTCTGTTACTGACTTTACCAGTTTTTTTTCTGGTAATCATTGTTATTGCCATTGAAAATGGTTAACTGAATGAATGAAAAAAAGATTAAATGAGGGATGAGTAGGAAGATGAAGATGAAGATTAAGATGAGAAGAGTTCGTGTGATGTAAATATTATTGTAAATAATACAATTTGAATATTGTATGTTATTTGGGTTGATAAAGAAGTTGAGGATAAAAAAAATTCAATAGATTTCAATTGTCGGAGGTTGAATAAATGATTATGATGATTGGGAAGATGAAAAAGACATCAATGGTGAAATTGAATGAACAACTTGAAATTAAAGTGAACCTTGACTTTGCACACCCTGAGTTATTCAAAGGAATTGGGATTAGCTTTTAAGTCAATGTCGATGAACTTTAATTGTTTGTGAGGTTGGATGTTGATCAAGATGATTTTTTGATTGACCGAGAAACAAATGATTAGCTTTCAATTTGGCTTCCTTTAACCAACAGTTTTACAATTGTCTTTCATCAGCCTACATGATATCTTTGATTAATATTAATTGTTGAGGCTTTGAACACGACTGATGATATTAATTTAAGGGTTAACGACAATGGGAATAAAGTAAAATAAATTAAATAAAATGAAACGTAAATTGAAATTAAAATGAAAAGGCAGTTTTTTTATATTTATAACATTGAATTTATCTTTTTTTTACTATAAAATGAATATCGTTTTTATATTCATAGGTATAATTATTATTAGTGAACTTGTCACATGAAAAGTAGAGGTAATTAAAGCAAAATACAAAGATAAATTAAAGGAAAGAATAGAAGTGAAATGGACTGAAATTGAAAAAAAGATAATGAAAAGTTAAGGATGAGAAATGAAAACAACAGTAGGAAAAGGGTTTTATGAACAATCTGATGTTGGTTTACTATTCATGTTAGTCTTGAAGATTGCTCAAAGCTTGTCAACAGACAGATCAGGCTTTACAAGTGTTGCTTTTTTGATAATTTCATTCATTTACACTGATGATAACTGGATGAAAGTAGTTAAAGGAGAGGGTTAAATCCATCAGCAGTTGATTCGGTTCAAGCAAAATTAGCAGTTTTCAAAGCTTTTGGTGGTTAAATCATTGATAATTGACCTTGATTGGCAAAGAGTTTAATTTTGATTAGAATCAGATTGTAATCAATTTATGTACAGATGAAATTTTCTAGTTATGCTCATGAGTTTTTCGGTGGTTTTAATTTCAAATTTATTATTAATTATCAGTAACTTGTAATTAAGAGTAACTATCAATTCAAGGCCAATTCTCAATGAGGTAAACGATTGAGATTCAATAGTGAAATGGTGAGGATAAAAATATGATTAAGGAATCTTAAGGGTTAATTAAAGTGTTAATGGATAATAAAGCGTGAACATTCAATGGAAATCAATTTTGATTTTAAATGGTGGGTTAGTATTAGGGTGAAAATATGGAGAGAGAAGGTTGAAGATGAAAGGATGAATTGAAGATAGAAGAGGAAAAGTATGATGAGCATTGTTGATGGTTAGTTTGTGTGATGATGTATTTTTTGTTTCTTATTTTATGCCTCGTAACTTATTGGACAAAAAAAGGTGGTAAAGGAGAAAGAGTTAACTGAGAAATTTGTAGAAAGTAATGGAAAAAGTTTTAATGAATGAAAGGATAAAAAAATGAGAGGACAAATGAAAGAACGAAAATTTGGTAGAAAATTGTATCTTTCAGTCAGATGATAGTCATATTGTAAATATATAAATATATTTGATTGTTTCTTTTTTGAGTTTTGTTGTGTCTAAATAAATATAAGTATCACTTTCGGTAACTCACAACATAATGTGGCTGGCCTAAAGGTTGGTGGCCATGATGGTGTTGCATTTGGTGTCCTTGAAGACCTTGCTGTCCAACTTGTTCATATGAAGGAGGAGGTGTTAAAAAGGATAACTGTTCGTCCCGGTTAACAGACCTACCATTTGTTGATTGGGGTCCGAGTGGTGGTGCATTCGCCATATAATTGGGACCAGGTACAAAATGAGGAGTCTGAGGTGGAGTATGACTATATCTGTAAAGATAAAGGAAACAATGAACATTAGTAAATATGATTAGGTTGAAAATTGGGTTAACAAGCAACTTTCAAGCCACACCAAGTCATTGAATAAAGATCATTGTTTGGATGGCGAAAAGTTCATGTAGCAAAGAATAAAAGAGATGATGAAAAGCAAAAAAAGAGAAAGGGCAAACAAGTTGTAATGATGAATACAGTAAAGGTGAAAGAGACATGGAAACAAATAGGAGGTTTGAAAGTGAGGTAAAAAGGGTATATTATTCAAGGTTTGCTTGAAATAGCCAAGGAGTTGACTTGATTAGCAACAATTAACTTTGAAAATTGTTAACTTTTTCATGACTGGTTTTTTGTTGAAGCTGTTGATGTTGTTGTATTTAAGAGGCCTTGCTTTAGTCATTAGAATGAGAAATGTACATAAATGAAGAGAAAAGGGGGTCAAAAAGTGGGGTAGACCTGTTTTCAAAGTTATTCACTAACCATGATTACTGATTTCTTTGATGATTGTACATCAAGCAGACTGGAGTAAATAAAAGAAAGAAGGATGAAAAAAATGAATTTGAAATAGCATGTAACTTAATTAAACTGAATGGTGAATGATTAATGAAATGAATGCTACATTATAACTATACTTTTTAAGTTCTGGTAAACCAGATTTGTTTTTTTGTTCAGTGTGTGTGTAATGAGACGGAAGGATAAATAATAAGTAAGGATGAAATAAAAATTAAATTTGACGAAAAGGATAATCAAAGGGAGGTCAAGATGTTAAAAAACAGTATGAAAAGGGACTTTTTTCATGCTTCTTGGCCCAGATTAAATTGATTAGAGAGGGGTGGTCAGTAAAATAAAGCGTCATCTTATGCATAGAGTATAATGGGTTAAAATGGGAAGAAAGTTTCGGTCAATTGGTTAACAGCTAAAAGGTGAAATATTTTGTTAAATGTTAGTGTTAATGCAATCCTTTTAGCCAAATTACGTCAAAGCTAATAAAGTTCATCATTATTTTTTTTGCTCTTATCAAACCTTACGGATTGATATTTAGTAACTGGTAAATCTTTTTGAACTTGAGTAGCTATTGTATCATGTTGTTTGAAACAATTTGACGAAAAGAAATTCTGTTGTGTGAAGAAAAAAAAGATTGAAAGAATTAAAGTGAAAAGAATGGATAAAAAAAGTCTCTAAAGAAAAATAGAGAAGAGAAGATTGTATTGAACAGTCAATTTGCTTCCTGGTACATTCTATTTTTTGATATCACATGAAAAGCCCAGTGATTTAGGCTGACCAATGATCAATTGATTGATTCCCTTCACTAATGTTGCCAACAAAATAAACTTGTTTCAGGCAAAGTTTTTCTCGCCATCTTATTGCTTCTTTTTCTTAGTTTTTTTTCTAATTCAACAATGTGTAAAAGACTAACATGAAGTATGAAAGCCAAGTGAGCAAGATAATAATGAGATGAATCTAATGATGTTAATGGTTACAGGAATACAGGAAGAAACAGCAAACTAGTTGGTGGGTTAAGGTTAAGGTTAACTTTAGTAAATGGAATAAAGGAGAAGTGAAAAGGTAAATAAGGGAAAGATATTAAGAGTTGGAAAGAAAGGCAAGTAATTTACACTAATTTGGTAACGCAAGGGCACACATAAAGTACCACAAAGAGAAGTGACACTGATATGTGTATGATTAGTGGGGTTGATGATCAAATCGTTTAGGTTAATGATCTTTTCATATGTACCTTGGTCTTGATGATGGGCCACTAGCAGCAGCATAATTATCTCGAGTGCGCTTTAAATTTCCAGTTGATGAGGATACGGTGGACGATGCTGAGGCAGGAGCCAAAAATGGTGCTGTTTCTTCAGAAGCATCGCCCGCCATGGCTTTATTCCGTTTTATCCGAATGTTTATCCAAGTGTGGGAAGCACAAAGGACAAGAAGAGTGAATATTAAGCCAGTTACAGATGAAGATGCCAACATGAGGGAGACACCTTCCAAAACATCTTTACAAGAGTGATTCATTGAATGTTTATAACTTTCATGGATTCTCTGGCAGTTAGAATATTGGCCGAATTTGTTCAATTGAGCTCGTACGAAGTTCATTCCATTGACAATGTGTGACATGTGTTGCTTGAACATAAGATCGGAACAATTTGATCTACAATGTGATTTAATCTCATCGTGGTTGAGGGCTATTTTATCCAGGTTCATCAAAATATCAGTAGATTGTTTTTCATAAATATTATCTGTTATTCGAGATTTTTGATCGATTGTTCCACATTTGATGTAATAATCGAGGAGGAAGCTTTCTCTAGGAAGATACTTGTAGATGAAGGGTTCAGGATCCATACAGAAATCAGAAACAGCAACACAAAAACCAATGTAGACTGAAGTCAAAACCCAACAAATTACTAGAGAGAGTAAACCAAGGACGGAAAACAAGATCAGCATACATCTTGAGTGACGGCAAACACCACAGATTAGAATCAAACCAATGAAAAGAAGAGATATGAGTACAGCCCATGTGGCCAGAGTACGGATCATTTCTTTTTCGGGAACATTGAGGTTTTCAATTTGATCGAAGTTGGCTTTATTGAAAATTTTACCTCTCATTTCGGTAATTATTGAGCTTGCAGAGTTGGTATTGCGTTTCATTTCCTCAATTTTTGCGTGAATAAAATTGACGAGGGTATAATTTTTCATGATGGGACCAGTTACCCGATTAAGAGCAAGATTTAAATTATCGTGGATATCCTTTTCGAAAGTCTTGTCAACTATTGCAGCTAATTTATTCATATCATCGATGTCTTGAGCAATCTTAGATGTTGAGTTTTGTACTTTAATCATTCCTTCATGGGTCACATAATTACCATAAAGGCCGACTGTAATGACTCCAATAGAAAGAATTGTAAAAAGGAAAAGGAAACATTTACAGCATGTCAACTTTTTCTTCTTCTTTGAATTAACATCACAGCATCGACAAAGAAAGAAGATAAGAAAGAATAAAAGAGTCAAAATTAACCAAAAGCCAGGGATGGCAACTATTATTCCAAGGGCTTCTTGATATTGGTTATCATTTAAATCGAAGGTAGCGTTAACCCAGTTGAAATGGATATCTTTGTGGGGTACTTGGTGAAAATATTTGGCAACAAGTGACATCTTAAAGTCACCCCCAGGGCTAGCTATAGATGAGTTGATGAATTGATCTATAAGATCCATGATGAAGATGATGAAATAATCTAATTGGTAGACGTTTGAATGAGCCTAAAAGTGCCTAAATGGAGAATAAAGAAAAACAAAGATCAAATGAATTGGAGCAATGATAAAAATGTGGAGAAGCAATGATTTGCTGAAACATGGATATAAAAATAAAACAAAAGATTGGAAATGAAGAAGAGGGGAGAGATAGATAGAGAAAGAGGAAAATAAAGATGAAAGAATATGATACAAAAAGAAACTCTAAGAGGAATGAGAAAACAAGAAAAACAGGGAGAGATGACAAGTGAGAAGTATAAGACAAACAAAAGATGGTCAATGGATGAGATGAAAACTCATAAATATAATAAACATTGATTGGATTTAAAAGGAAAACAAAATATCAATAGCAATATCATTAAATTTGGTGAAACACACAAGCATTGACATAGAAACATTGTCAGATGAAGTCAAGATGATTCCAGATTAATTATGTGAGAATTTTTCTGCATCGAATGTTTCGGCTAAGCTAAGTGTAGGAGAAATTGTAGAATTGAACAATGGATGAAATCCATAGCAGAGAAGAATAAGAATAATGGGAAAGATTTAAAAAAAGAAGCATTCAGGAGAAAGAAAGGAAAGATAAGCCAGAGAAAGAGAAAGGGAAAGAGAGAATGTAAAAAGAAACTTACTTTACATTTGACACAAGAAAAAATGGTCACAGCGTGAAAAAAAAAGTCTTGTAAAAGTAAAAACACAAAGAAAGGTAACAAATTAACCCGTCAGATTAAATTCATCTCTGAATTGGTGATATTTGATGAAATGAATAAAATCAAAGTCAAATTGATGGATAAAACAGAATAGTAAAAAAGTTGATGAAAATTGTCAATTTAATTTATTCCTTCAGTTAGTTTACTGAACATTGCAATCTTTTCACTTCACTCATCTTCCCAAATCCAACTCACTGAAGTGAGAGCCTCTGGGAGTGGCCTTTCAGCGCTGCCATCTCTTACTGTAGCTTTAAATCAAACAAATTACAATCTTTTTATCAAAATTGTTTACAAAAAAACGATTAAAAAGATAATCAGAATTGGAAATACAAAAAATTCCAAGTTTAATCCCTTGACTAATAGGATAATAGTCATATTTTCACAGGAAATTGTTTACAATTAGCTGATTATAACCGGAGAATCAAACTTTTCTGCCGGATTCAGGACAAACAGAGATTCCAAACAAAATTGAGTTTCAATTGAAGGAAAATAATTCTGGAATATTTTAGCCAATGATTGAGATTAAATACGACAAAAGAAGTGCGATTTCAGTCTTTAGAATTTTGAGAAATTAAAAATATCTGATAAATTGAGAGTAAATGAATCTTGTGACTTCGATTGGTTTCAACTTAACATAACTTTTTAATATTTGATATCAAAAAAGGCAGCATTAATCGTGATTCAAGTTAACATGGGATGAAAGATGAATTTGCTCATTTCGAGAGTTTTTTCCTTTAATTTTGATAATTTTAGTCCTTCAATTGTATCGATTGTATGGATTACCCTGATTTGGGTTTCTTGCCTGTTCAACTTTCATGTTCAACCTGTTGAAATCGGCTGCAATTTCAGCTTTACTCTGATCAATCAAATTTATATGTTCTTTTATCAAAATCCTAACGTGCGACAAAGCTGTCTCATTCTGTGAGGCCATGTCCTTGAAGTTCGTTGTCGGTCTCATTTGTTCCTCGATACGTGATAGTCTGACTTCCATAAATCGGATTTTGGCTTGCAGAGTTTCGATATCCACTTCCTCCGACATTTCAGCACGAGATGAACCGCAGTCGTTATTCATGTAATTTTTAATGGATGCTACTTTAGTTTGTATAGTTGAGACTTCAGATTAGTGATCTAAAATAGATATAATGCGTTAACACTTGTAAGAAACCATGAAATGGACTCAATCAACTTGGAAATTGGTCTTTTGATTTTTTGGATTAAATCTTCCTAAGAGGTTGTTGGATAATGTTTTATTTGATTTTCCCATGAAAACAATTGGCTAATAAGTTCACAATTAATTTAATAACTTGATTTTTGTGATTATTAAAGGAAGGAACCGGAAGTAATGAGTTGTTGTCCCCTCTTGTTACTTTGCTTTTCTGAAAGAAGGAAAAAAGGGAATGTCTCTGCATTTACTAATGTTTCCATTTTTCTTTTGCTTTATTTGATCTCAAATGTTTAACTTAATTAATTTAATTTTATTTGTTTGCCAATTATGGAACAGTTTGACATTAAGATTCTTAAATTTCAGAATAAAAAGCTTGGTGAACGATTAGAGACTAAAACCAAGGTCGAAGCTGATTTAAGACAACGGATAGAACAACTGGAAAAGAAACAAACATCAGCAGAAGCCATTGTTTATGTTATTAACCGATATTGGAACCAATTAAATGAAGATTTAAGGATCCTGTTACAAAGGTTTGATGCCGAAACCTCTGACCAGCAAGAGAATGACAATGAGAATGAAGCTACCACCAGTTTTATATCACAATTATCTAATTGGGATAAGGATGAGTTGGAGGAGAATCTTCGACAGCGGGTTGAAGTGTCAAAGAGAGCTGTTAGTAAAGTAATCGCCACCTTTGACAGAATTGTACAAAGAAATGAGAAAATAACCTTTGCTTTGAAAGGTAAAAACATTGGTGACGGTATGTTATCAACCTATTCCTTCCCTAATTCAAAAGAAATCATTTCATGTTCTCTTGATTTAAGATGATTTTGCAACTGTTAAATAGGGTTGATGATGCTGAGCTCTAGCTTTGTTTTCTGGTAAAACACTTATTTTTCCTATGTTAACCTTTTGCTCATCATTAGCTTTTTTAAATCATCTTAACATCTTTATTTGCTTCTATATTTTTATACCCATCTGATTGGCCTGTTTTCAGGCTTGATGTGATTTGATTTCAATCCCAACTAATTTTACCAATCATCTAACCGGTGAACAAGAATAGCCTGTCAATTGGTTTCTCTTTTCTTTTCTATTTACTCTTTCTCTTCATATTTATTTTTTCTCTTTTTTTGTCTTAGGTGACACTGATAATGGTGAGAGTACTCCTAGTCTTGATGAGGCTGTTAAAAAAGCCAACCAAGAATTGCAAAATGAAAATAAAAATCTTAATGCCTTGGTTACATCTTTACATGAGAAACACCATAAGATGAGCCTCAAATTTAGTGAAATGAAGGATAGCGTGGAATCAATGGAAGCCAGAAATGATGAGTTAAAAGCTCGAATAGACGATCTAGAATTTGAGCTTAATCGTACTCGATCCAAAGAGATCAGGTTGCAAGAACATTTACAAGAAGCTCGCGAGAAACTGCAAACAATCCAGATGTCCGGTGGTGACTATGATTTTTGCTCTAATGGAAAAAGTGCAAAAAGTCGTGATAATGTCAATCATACTAAATTTGAAGATATGCAGAAGGAACTGGAAGAGTATAAAGAATTGGCCAATAAAAGATTAAATGAACTTGAAACTTTGAACTCTGCTCATAAAGATGCTTTGACATTGATTGAAAAGTTAAAAATGGACCTTCAAACCTTGCCTGAATCCGTTGTTGTGGAAACTGTTGAATATAAATGTCTTCAATCCCATTTCTCTGTGCTTTATAATGAATCCATGCATCTTAAGACACAACTAGAAGAAACTAGAAATATGATGATTAAATCGAAAAATGATCACCTTCGTCAAATTGAACACATGGAATCAGAAGAACTCGTGATGCAAAAAAGACTTAGAACTGAGATTATTCAATTAGAAGATCAATTGGAGCAAGTTAAAAAGGAATATGAAATGCTGAGGATTGAATTTGAACAAGCAATTGCTGCCAATGAACAAACGGGTCCTATCAACAAGGAGATGAGACATTTAATTACAAGCCTTCAAAATCACAATACCCAATTAAAAGGGGAAGCCCTAAGGTATAAGCGTCGTCTCAAAGAAGCTCAACATGATTTAAATAAATTGAAACACACTTGTGAAACTCAACATCAAAATTTAACATCTAGTACCAACAGTAATAACGCCAACATTAGTATCAATAACAACAACAATGGCAACAATAATACCAACACTACCAATAGCAGTACTGATACTAGTAACAATGTTAGTCAACCTGTTAACGCAAATATCAAAATGAATATTAAAACTGAGCCTGATGTTGAAAATAGTGAGGATCCGCCGACTAAAAGACAGAGAACTGATTCCGGATCAGATCTGGGCATCGTTAAAGAAGGGATCAAAGAAGTTGATGAGAAAAAACCTGACGAGTCAAGCAGCATTAATGACACTACTGTCACAATCAAAAAAGAACGTGAAGATAATAGTCAGATCAATATTCATTCGAGCTCTTCATCATCAACAACAACCACAACAACGTCTGGTAACATTCCTATTTCAAGTCATTCACATACTTCTAGCCATACTCATCGATCGAATCACCATCATATTAAAAAAGAGGATTCCGGTGATATAAGTGAAAAAGCAACCACACCTCGCGCTGGAATTAGTCATGAAAAAAATGAAAGTACCGCTGTTGGTGGAAACCCAGGCGGAATTAGTATTAGTACGAACAGTAATAGTAGCAGTGGTAGAAGACTTGAGCCTGATTTAATAATTAAAGACCTACAAAAGCAACTTAGAGCGGTTACTCAACAAAACAAAGATATGAAATTGGTGATAGAAATGTACAAAAACAGTCAAAGGGATCAGAGGGATAAAGTTGCCCTGATGACAGCAGAAAAGAAAAGTAGAATGGAAGTTGAAGAATTAAAGAAACAATTAGCTAAATACCAGGAATCTGACAGACGTGATCGAAGAAAATATACCGATGAGGAAACACAGAGAGAAATAACCAAGTACAAGGAAAGTATTCAACAGTTACAAAAACTGTTAGCAACTCAAAAACAAGAGGATGAAGCTCTATTAAATGAGATGGAGGTGACCGGTAATGCTTTTGAAGATATGCAAGAGCAAAATTTACGTTTAATGCAACAGTTACGAGAAAAAGATGATGCCAATTTTAAATTAATGTCCGAAAGAATCAAGTCTCAAGGGATCTTAAATTTACTCAAGGAGGAGAAAGAAAATCTTAACCTACAAGTAATCAATTTAAAAGCTCAAGTGGAAGCACAAAACCAAGTGGTCAGAAAATTGGAAGAGAAAGAAAGATTGTTACAAAATAATTTATCCACTGTAGAAAAAGAATTAAGTTTAACGCAACAGGCCATGGAACAAAATCGCCGTAAAGCCATTGAATCGGCTCAATCAGCAGCAGATTTAAAGCTACATTTGGATAAATATTTAAGTCAATTGAAAGAAGCGCAAGCTACTGTGGCAGATAAAACGTCAACTTTACAACAAGAAGCATTTAAGAATCAAAGACTTCAAGAGGAAGTGATGACATGGCGAAGATTATATGAAAGAGCCAAGAAATTCGAACTAGCGACAACAGCAGATGAAGTGTTACAAGAGGAAATTAAAGAATATAAATCCCAATTAACTTGTCCATCTTGTAAAACTAATCGTAAAGACGCTGTACTGACAAAATGTTTCCATGTATTTTGTTATGAATGTCTAAAAACCAGGTACGAAACTAGGCAAAGGAAATGTCCTAAATGTAATGCACTTTTTGGTGCCAACGATTTCCATAGACTGTACTTGGGTTAGTATTTATTGTCCATAAATATCTGCAAATATATCCTCTACTCTTTCCTCTTCGCTTTTTTCTCTCACACTTCATCTATTTTTTTCTTCTCTCGATTTCTATTCTTTATTCCCTTAATACTATTATAAAATTAATTTCTCTTCCCATTTTTTCTTCCCTTGTAAGCATTTTTAAAAGTTGAAAAAAAATTACAGATAAATAAAAATAATTCTCATTTCTTTACAATACGAATCACAATTTTTATATTGAATATCTGCTTTTATGTCAAATGTTTCACAAATATCAATCATAAGCAGCAACTGCAACATTTCAAAAACCAAATTCAATACGAAAATGGATAAACATTGAGTTAACCAAAAGAACGAAATTCGGGTTCACACCATTCACACCAAACGGTAAAAGCACAATAAATGAAAATATCAAACAAGTAGACAGAATTAAAGATCGAAAAAAATCTCGCCATCAAATAATAAGCTAATACTTCAATTTGATCCATCACCAGCGCTTAATTATACAGCCATTAGTAGAGACGGTCGGAATAGGTTGGTGTGTGTTGGGCAAAAAGTAAATTTCTCTGGAGGAAAAGGTTGTAGACTCATGGCGGGGAATGGTTTGGATTCAGTAGGAGCCAAAATCTCAATGGACAATTGACAAGCAAGAAGCCAAAGACTCAAGTCACTTTCAAGTCACTTGTTAGTCAAGTGGTTACCTAAGCAAATCAGAATAGTTTCTTATCAGTTCAACTCTTTATGATTAATTTATCAATTTAGATTAAATACTTACTGCCGAATCGATTTGAATAATAAAATTTAATGAAATATATGGAAATATAAAGAAACAGTTGAAAAGCGCGTGGAAAATGATTATATAACATTTTAAGCGATGTTCTTATATGGCGGCCTGATGGTCTAGGGGTATGATTCTCGCTTTGGGTGCGAGAGGTCCCGGGTTCAAATCCCGGTCAGGCCCGATTTTTGGTCATTTCAATTCCGAATCGCTTCCTTTTTCTTCGATTCACTATTTTTTGTCTCCTTTTTGCAAATGAAATTATTTCCGGTTAATCCTTATCGTCGTCATTACCATCTACATCATTAACACCATCATGAAAATGATCATCAACAGGATTTGGTTAACCTTTCAATTTACAGTTAACATCAAGATTGAAACTGGCCAAGTTGACCTGATTGTATGGTCAATCTTTTCTCCTCTTCATCATCACTATCATCATCAACAACAACTGTACATGAAACAAGCAACATTAACAGGGTTTCAACTTGGTTAACCTTTCAAATCAAGGTGAAGTAACGACAAGATATAAAACGCCGAAGTTGACCTGATCTTATGAACTTTAAGATGAGGCAAATAGAAAGATAAAAAACAAATAAAGAGGTAATGAAAGAGAAGATGAAGATAAAAGTGAGTAAAAAGTGAAGTGAGTTAAACCTCATGACATTTTCATGAAGAAAATGAGAAAATGTTTTTCCAGTCAGAAAAGGGAGAAAGTAAAGCTTCTAGCGGCAAGTTTCTCTACTATTAATGATATGTTTGAATTTACTGTTGAGTGTTGGGTAGTGTAACTGATTTTGTTTGGTTAGTTGTTTTGATTGGGATTAATTTTCCTTTTGTGTTAATTCAAACAGCAGACAATCCATTCAATTGAAAGATAGTCAAATTAAATTGTTTCAATCCTATAGTTAGTATATTTTTATCATATTTTTCTTTTCACTTCTCTAGTTTTTACCAAAAAGGTAACCTGTTCATTTTTTCACATGCCTGTGTAAATCAGAGAGTCTTTTTTTTCATCGAAATTTGTTTTTGTTGATATTGTTTTGTTTGTGCTTGTGTCCAATTGTGAAGTAATTGGTTAACTAAAAGTGAACTAATTAATGACATTGGTGTAATACAAGCTAGTGTAAAAATGGATTCAAAAATTACCATTACTTCTATTTTGGTTACTCTTATTCTTAAGGTAAGCTAATTTTTTATAACTTACATATGCCCTTGTCTTTATTGACTTTCTTCTCTGATATTAATTTTACTGATCGCGTTATCTGGTTTAATTTAATAAATTATGTACTTGATTAACCAATGTTTATTACTTTGGACTAAACTAAATGTTTCCCTTGTTTATGTTGCTACAGATTGTTACCGGTGAATCATCTTTAACTCAACCCACAACCTCGCCTTTACAAGCTCAAGCTTTGCCATCTTCACCAGAAGCTAAATGTGTTCTCGGTGGTATTTGCGGCCACGGTGGAACTTTTCAATCACCAATACCATGTTATGAACCTCACACGCCGCAACCCATCGCAAATGAAACATACAGAGCTACACTCAAAGAATTGTGTCCCAATCTATTCCTTAATAATGATAACCCACCAGTTTGTTGTTCACTGGAACAGATTGATGCTTTAGAGAAATCTTATGAAGCACCTAACCAATTTCTGGGCCGATGTCCATCTTGTTTTTATAATTGGAAGCAAATATTCTGTGAGATGACCTGTTCATCACGACAAAGTCAATTCATAAACATTACAAAAGTGGTACCTTTAGAATCATCGCCGGAAAAACTGCAAGTTCAAAATACAACTTATTTTATGTCTGAAACATTTGCGAAAGGTCTTCATCAGTCATGTAAATCTGTCCAAACTCCTCTTAACCTTCCTGCCTTAACCATTATGTGCGGTATCACCGATGATGGTGAATGTACCTACAGAAAATGGTTGAATTTCATGGGACTTTCACATCGATCAGGAGGACATTCACCAGTACAAATAAACTTCACATTCACTCAAGAGACACAAATAACAACGAATGATGGGCTAAAATTTTATCCCATGTCCGCTCAGCCAATTCCTTGCCATAAAAGTATTGGCCTTGGATTTGACCCATGTAGCTGTTCCGACTGTGAGCAAACCTGTGCTATTGATGTACTTCCCAGAAGTGCCCGAAAACTTCCGCCACCACCAGAACCTTTCACTTTCTTTGGACATCCAGCAGCTGCTATAATCGGCTATTTACTCTTTGCTTTAATATTTAGCACAAGCTCAGTTTATTTTATAAACCTATTTCTCAAGAAAAACAAATCACTCTCTCGTAAGTAAATCTTCAACCATTAGTCCTTCATTCTCTCTCCTCTGGCATTTAGAAAGTTTATTCCAAGGGGAAATGCAAGCACAAACCTGTGTGCAATCGTACCCAATAAATCGCAAGGTTTTCCGAATAAAAAATGAAAACAATTTCTCGTACATTTTACCCCATGGCATAAACTATCTAAATACCCTGTACAGTAATACCTCAGATAATGAGGCTGCGTAGGAATAGCTTACAATGCCGAGTCTGTTTCCAATCAAGACCATTTTTGGGCTCTAAAACTGAACCATTTGAACAATGAAAGTCACTAGCTTAACCCATAATCTGAGCTTTAAATTACTCTCGAAAATGCTCAAAATTTTAGACCTTTTCTAGTTGATAAACACGAACTGGTGTCTTTGAAAAAACTTAACCAAGAAAAAAGATTCCTCATTACCTGTATTACTGTACATCTTTGACTCACCACACTCCACCTTTTCTTCCTACCCACTTTCCTGTGTTCTATTTACATTAATTCTTTGGGTTTATTCAATTTGTACATCCAAAACATCGATTGGTCTCTTTTATTTATGGTAATCCCTGATCTAATTTAGGTAAAAACTATCCAGACACTTTAAATCTGGAAATAAATAGAAACATAGCAAGATCACTTTCACCATTTCTCACTGATGGCTCAGCCGAAGAGAATGAACCTCTTGAAAATGAAGGATTGTTCAAAAGTAGGTTTTCGTTGAGTTAACTTTCCATTGTGCTTTTCGTAGTAATCACATAACCAGCATTTAATCACATTTTTTTGTCTGCTTTACCGTACTTTTAATTTCGCTTTTTTCACCAACACAATCCTCGATAGTTATTATGTAACTCTATTGGGTAAATGTACACTACGTTCAATCACTTGTTTGCTGTATTGCTTTTGTATCCATTTTTTTGCTCATTTTAACCTTATTTTTCGTCTTACAATTACCTTTAAAGCAACCTTAATTTAAAACATATTAGAGTCAATGATAATCCATCGACATTATGCTTTATGCCAATTTTTTGCTTCATCCTTTTCCCAATAACTCTGTTTCAATATCATCCGATTTCACCCTTTTTGCTGTGCAATAACTTTAATTGATGATTTTAATTTCCTCATATTTCATTAATTTCAATTGAAATTTAATGCGACTTTCATTGAAATTATCTTTTCTTCTGCCAACTCTTCCTTTTCCCCTAATTTTTGTTCATCAATCAGAGTTTAATTCAACTCAAGCCCAATTGATATGAAAAACTTGTTCACAAAATCCTTTGTAATTTCACTGACCCCTGCCAACATCCGGATAACCCCTGATTTCACCGAAATCATTCACTTTCCGATTTACAACTTTTACCTTCAATTTTATTACTTTTTATTGTTTTCACCTTTTGTTGATTTTCAATTGCAATTCATTCACCCATAATTGTCAATTTCAAGCAACCATTAGATTAAGATGATTTTGTTTTTTTTTACAATCTAAAGTTACACCTTGAAGAAGGTAAAACTTCAGCTTCTTGAATCATGATTTATATTGCTGAAAATACTTTATCGATCTCAGTCATTTTTTCATTCAACAATCTAGCAAACGTTTGACCTAGAATTACAATTGTTACAATCATCGTTAATAGCTGTTAACAACATATTCATATTATCGATTGATTCTTAGGCAGTTACAAAAAGCTTTACAAAACTAAAGTCTTGTTAGACTCTTTGATAGCTCAAGTTATTAAAATACAAAAATTAATTTCGCAGTTAGCTGAGAGTTAATTGTTTGTAACTTTAATCAAGTATTGGAATTTCCAGGAAACTGTTGCTAATAGCAATTACATAATTTATCAGACAAAATATCTTCCTTTGAGTGTCTTGTTTCTTCACTCAGAATCAATCGATAACAACAGACAATAATATTCACCTCCATTAATAGCCAACATTATCTTACAATTTTTGTCTCATTTCAAGCAATTAAAGTAATCTTACTATATTTACCTTGATCAAATTGATTGATTCAAAATCAAAGTGTCAATTGAAATGACTAATGATCCAAACAACAATCACAATCTTTATCTGTTTACTTAACAGTTTAGGGCAATTGATCAGCAAATAAACCAAGCATAAATCATGACCAAAATTTGTGTAAAAAATCAGTTTAATAAACCAGGAAAAACTCAAACTCAAGTGCCTCAAGTACTTGACTAAATATAAAGGTGTCTTTGGCACACAATGAAAAATGTAAACAAAACTTGAAATACATTTTCAGGTTCATTCATTTACTCATTTGAAACATTCCCATGTAAAATTGATTGGGTTTACCTAAACTGAGACAAAACAAAATCCAATCATTTAACCAGAAATTTAATCCTGGAAATTCCTTGAAAATTTAAATATCATATTGATAATCAACAATCAAGGTTCAAGTCTCATCAACTCTTCCTTCACTTTCTTAAGCAAAAACACTTTTCTGTTCAGTTGTTCAACTTGTTTTTTCTTCCAAACATCCAAACACATTATGATTCCAATGTATATTTTTCATGATTAAAAGAGTTGCTATTTAGCCCAACAGAAAATGTTAAAGTTAAGCAAAAAAATATATACATTCAGCTTGTTTCACGTCACTGGGTGTTTACATTGCTTGTTATTACAATTTTCATTTCCAACTCAGCTTTGTCAAGGTCTTTTAATATTATCATGAGGATCTCCAGTGAAGTAAAAGATGCTTATAAATCTTGAAATTTATTATTTCCATGCAGACATTAAAAGAGCCATGAAAAAATGAATTTAAAACCTAATCATTTGCTGTATTGTCTGGTTAATCAATGGTTAATCAAGGATTGATCAGGCAAGTTAGTTTGTTTAAAACAAACACTCTTGGTAATGTTGTAGTAATTGTCGTTTTTCACCATTATGATGATCAATTGATTCTTAAATGATTGACCATTGATTTACTTGTAAAACAATATGCATGATGATAAGTTATCGAGGTTCAACTTGATTTTCATGGCTGTATTCTTGAAATCATTTGCTTACTGACATAAAAAACTGTTTTTTTACTTCCCTTGAAAAAATTGCTTCCCTTCATTTTTACATGTATTAATCAAATTAACTTTTTTGTTCATTAAAAAGTACAAATATGAAAGGATTAGTTTGTCCTCAATTCGTTACTATTCAGGATGATAATCATGTTGATGATGATGATAATGGTGGTGATGTTGATCAAAAGTGGATCTTAAACTTGTTTTCAGATGGAAGCAAAAATGAAAGTCAAATTGAAAGTGAAAGTGAAAAATTTCGAGATCAAGTTCTTACTCTTTTTTAATACTTGAAGCAATTTTCATGATTTCATGTAGTTAGTGGTTATGATGACTACCATGATGAAGTTGATCATCAACTTGGATAAAGTACTTATCATCTCTTTCTTTTCTTTCAATTTTTCCATTTCAAGCAATTTCTGCCTTTTTATTGTCAACTCAACTTGAAATGTTGTCAAGTGTAAACTCATTGCAATTCTTACAGTTTATCTAATTTTCACTTTTGACGTATCATCTGATTAATTTGAACATTAACATGATAAACAATCAACTATTAGTTGGATCCGTTCATTGGAGTAGCATTAAGACGCGAGGCGGAGTCGACCGTAAACCGCAAGATGTTTGATAGTCAAGAGATTTAGACTCATGGAAATGAAAAGATTATTTATTCACTAAGATCCCATTTTACTTAATTAGTTGATCTATTTTGATAATTTTCGAGGAAATTTTCTATCTTTTTGACAATATTATCTCTGTTTTCCGGTGATTTCATGGAAGCAGATATTTTTGCTATCTTGTCAGCATATGATGGGTTCGATAATGTTTCTTCAATAGTTTTTAAAACTTTCACTTCATCAATTTCATAAAGATTGATTCGAGAACCGATTCCACAGTCAACTGCTCGTTGAGCATTATCAGGTTGATCCATGAAAAAGGGAATTACAATCAAAGGTTTTCCAGCATAAATTGTTTCCAAAAATGTATTGTTGCCTCCATGAGTTATAACCAAATCAACAACCTCAAGAATACCTATTTGATTGACGTAATTCTCACCCCACATGTTTGGTCCTAATTCAAGTTGATCTCCTTTCGGGCCTTTAGAGACGATGAAACGATGAGGACATTTCGATAAGATTTTAATGAAACTTTTCATCAAATCTATTTGAACTGACCCTAATGAACCCAGTGAAAAGTAAATCAATTTTCCTGGTAAATGCTTCAATGATTCAGGGATAACAAATGGTTCCACATTATCTGGTTCGCGAATAGCACAATCCAAACGAATCCATTTATCAGACTTTATTGGACCTATTTCATGGTAATCTAAAAGTTCAGGATAATGATAAATTCCAAGTTGTTCAGGTTCAGCATAAAACCAATTCTCGAGTGTCGCATCTTGAATAGTAGGCAAAGGAGTTCCAGTAGATCGCCACCAAGAATATAAATTTTCACGGAAAATTTTTGAAGCAACACCGCCCAACTCTCTGAATTTACTCCACTTTTCAGTGTCTTTTTCCTTCACTGAAAAACCTGACCATGCTGGAGGTCCATTAGGATAGAGAGGAAGTGGGTTCATTGAGAGAAGCAGTGCACATGGAAAAGGTGCTTTATGAAAGGCTGGATTCATCATAACGAAATCACCAATGAACAAGTCGAAATTATCTGCATTTTCTTTGAATATAGCTTCTAATGCAATACTGTTGCGTCTATATACATTAACGATTGAGCCGAAAATTTCGCTTTCTTCTGATGTCCAATCTTTGAAGATTGATAATGCATCAGAACGAAATTTGTGTAAATATCCATCGAACCATTCCGGTGCTGAGGCAGGTCGAACATTCTCAAAGAGTTTTTCATCAAAAGGAATGAACTTGAAGTTTCGTTTATCAGCAAGCTTCTTGTGGTGAAGACGATTAGCAAATGTTACTTCATGACCGTATGAAGCAAGGATTTCGCCCAAAGCAAGTGTGCAGTTGATGTGTCCGAATCTATTGAATAAGTGAATGTTTTAAAATTTAATTGAGTACAATTGTTTAATTAGTTAAATTATGCAGCTAATTAAGAATAATGAATTACTTACGCATCGATGCTTGAAATAAGAAAACGATACTTTGTTTTACCGGTCATTTCTGGTTCAATGCAAAGAAGTAACTAAATAAGCACAAATATCAAAATTTCGAGTTTGAATGTTTCGCCTAATCTGAAAAGACATATTTATATACTTACGAGTTATCATTGTTTCAAAATCTCTGATCTTTTAGCCTTGAATTGAATCCCTGATTAAGACTATTTCAATACTCTTGAAAGAGTTCGAACGAACTTCATCCGAATCATACTTTCAACTCATGGCATCGTTAGTCAAATGATCCCATGGCTTGTCTATTGTTTTAATAAATCCAAGAAAAGATTGTAGGATTGATTTTAGGATGAAGTTGAGATAAAATGTTTCCAAGATCAGTACTTTGTCAGTACCAAGTAACTGTACTGATAAAGTATGTTGTGATTAGTATGTTAGATCACCGCATGTGAGATATTCATGGTTAAGACGAAAATCCGGAGTCGAGGGTCTTATCAATCAATATCTCACATGTAGTGATTCAATATTGTAACATTATTATGACACACTATAATTTAATATTACTCAAAAAATGAAATCTATTGATTGCTATAAAATGTCTATCCAAGTTTATCAAGATGAAGCTCACTTCTTTTCATCTCTAATTCAAAGTGAAGTGATTAAAGATAATCTCGATTCATTTGAAACTAAACATTAAGATGGATTTGGATTGTCATTTTAAAAAAAACTGATTAGCTAATTGGAAGCATCTTTAATCATTGACGTTATTAAATACACCTTTCATATCTCCACCTTAGCTTTGTTAATCGTAACACCCTTTATTTACCTGTCTTTTTACCTATTATTATTACATTTTCGTGCTGTTATACATTATATTGTCTTTGTGTGTGTGTAAATAGTGGCGAGTTGAAATATAAAATAAAAAATGATTCATGTTACTAAGGAGATGATAATGTTGATTGATGATGGAAACCAGTAAAAGTGAAACTTATCAAACCATTGCTACATTTGTAAAGCTATCTGTAAACTTAACTTGACTTATATTGACCTCAAGTTTTGTTACTTTTACTTCAGCTATTTCTTGTTATCTACATTTTTTGGCTTTTTTTCAAACGGAACCTGAACTTTTTTTATAGCCCATCAACCCAAACCTCTACCTGTAAAAAGTCTGGTTTCTTTGGTTTCACTGAAACCGTCACTGACTTGTCCAACCGGTTTACAGTTTATTAAATTACAGCTTATGGTGATTCTTACAGAGGAAAAATTGTATTTTCAAAATTAACAAAGATTACATTGATTGTCCATGTTGAAGGAAAAAAAGGAAAACATTTCAGGGAAAATTCAAAATCGTTGTAATTTTTGCAGCATAATTGTAACCTTACTGTCAATATTATGTCACATTAAGCATAACTTACAATACTATTATCAAAAGGTTTCAAAATTTTATTCATTGTTAAGTTTATTTTTGGTAAAATGATAGATTTATTGAATAAACCAATCTTGAGGTTGATTTAGGTTTCCCTTTTTAAAAATCATTTTGTACGATTGACTGTTTCATCATGTTAGATCACTGATTGTCCTTCAATTGTGACTCAATTGAACGTCCATGGCCCGAATTAACCTTTTGTAAATGATTATAAAGAGGTAAAAAATAGTTTAATATAGTTTCTAATGGGATAATAAAAGGCTTTGATTGACTAATTGTATACAAAATTGTGTCTGAAGAGTTGAGAGACTGAAAATTCTCATTTCACCAAGAAAATTGTTTTTAATTTTGTCCATCTTAAGGGTTTTGTTGAATTTAATTCCTCTAAAAATTGTTGTCAGTCTTTTATCAAAATGTACCTTTATTAACCATTCAAACTGGACTTTGTTACAACAATTCAATAACCCTTGTCAACAGTCAAAGTTAACATTTTTAATTATTTCAATTATTAAATCGGTCAATGATAATTTCCAAGGCTACTGGTTCCAATCAAAAACAATTATCTTTCAATGTTAGTGGAAATGTTATGTGACAGTTTATAAATTATGACAAATTAATTGCTTCATAGGGTTTAATCGTAACAATACAACTACATTGTATTATTTGCATGTAAAGTCAGATATGTTTACATGCATTTGATTCAATGGTTCAATTGTGTATGAAAAATGAATACAAATATTGCTTTATATTTTTATTTTCAATTATCACTCTTACCTTGAAGTTAAATGGCAATAATAGCATATCGAGTAAATGGTTAATTCACCGATAATAATGGTTACTATCATGGATACAGAACTGGTCAAATAATCAATGAAACACTGAAAGTATCGATATATTGAAAATTTGTTGGATTTCACTTTGATCATGAATTTGAATAAAGGCCTCACATGGAGTCAAAAGTTTGATCAATAAAAACAAATATTAATTGCTTTAATTATGACATTTTCCTTCTCGTTCAGCGTGTTAATAACAATTTAATTGCTTGTTTGAACAATGAAAAGGCAAACAATCAATTGGCAAACGTTAATTTAATTTTATACTTTTACGTGCAATTGTTTCATTCAATCATTTCTGTTGTCAACATGTTACAGAAGTTAAGGAAAACTTTGCAATTGTTCATTGACAATGGTTGACGCTTTTTTTCATTGTAATTACGTAAAAATCAAATCTAATTAAAATTATCTGTTTTCACTGTTGATGCGATGGTTGTCTTAAACTCTGCCAATAATATTTGGTTACAAAACAAACGTAAAAAAACTTACCTTTCCAAGGACAATTTATATTTGTAATTTATTTTTATCTATTGATTGACAACATTTACCTTTCATTAAATGTTTGCATCAATGGTTTACAATTAATTTAAACTAGATGCGCGCTTATTCAATTGCTTGATTAACTATTATTGTTTCGCATGTCTATTTTATACTTTTAATTACACACAGTGTACGTTTATTTACTGTCACCGTCTTTTGTCTTTGCATGCTTTTTTAATACTACAGCAATTATTTCCTTAACAATTAACTTTTCTATCAAATTTGTTCCAATCAATTCCAAGAAACTAATTTTCACCTTTTTTTGCCTTTCCAAAATTTCTATAGATGACTTCATTGGACCAATTGCAGCGGCAACTCCACCAGCAAGTCCATCTCGTGAAGTGGCCTCCATTAGTTCCGATGGTAAATCAACGGAAGAAAAGTTGAGCTTAGGATTACAATTTGAACTGTTTTTTGAAAAATGGTTCACTCGATGGGGAATTTACGTTGCAGATCATCCAATTCCGATAATGGTCATTTCATTGGTTGCTAGTATTATTCTTGCTTGTGGATTGGCAACAATTAAAGTAACGACTGATCCAGTTGATTTATGGGTTTCGGCTGGAAGTCAAGCTCGTCAAGATATGGAATATTTCCAAAGCAATTTCTTTAAATTTCACCGTATTGAACAGATTATCGCTACACCAACCGATAACTCTTATTTCAGGGCAAATTATACCAGCAATGGAAAAGTCAAATCTGATCGGTTTGGCCCAGCATTTAGAAGACAATTTTTAAAAGATGTTCTCGCATTACAAAAAGAGATTGAAAATATGCAGGTTACTAATGGTGATCACACTGTTTCATTGAAAGATGTTTGCTACAAACCCTTAGGATCTACGTGTGCAACTCAAAGTGTTTTCACTTACTTCCATGATGACCCCAATGAAATTGATGATGAAAATTACCTTCACAAAGTTGTCAGTTGTCCTAGGTAAATGATTTAAGCCAAATATCGATTGTTGAATTGTAACTAATCTTATTTTATTTGTTTCTTTGTTTATACAGTAATCCAACTATTCTGAGTGACGATAAATTTTTGTGTATGAAAAATGGAAGCATCCCACTAATTTATCCAGAAGCAACTCTTGGAGGTTTCAATAATAATACATATCGAGAAGCTCAAGCTCTTATAATAATATTTCCTATTCTTAACTTTCCTGATCCAAAGCAAAACAGTGATGCCATTGCATGGGAACAAGGTTTCCTTGATTTGGTTAAAAATTATTCAAACCCCAACGTAAAGATTGCATTTAAAGCCGAGAAATCTATTGAAGACGAAATTGATCGTCAAAGTCAATCAGATGTTGTCACAATTGGTGTTTCCTACTTAATTATGTTTGTTTACATTCTTTTGGCTCTTGGAGAAAATTCAAACATCAATACTCTTCTCATTGACGCTCGATTTACTCTTGGATTTGTCGGTGTTTTGATTGTCCTTCTTTCAGTCATGTCTTCTCTTGGTTTCTTTTTCTACCTTGGAATCCCAGCAACTCTTATTATTGTTGAAGTTATCCCTTTCCTGGTATTAGCAGTTGGTGTAGACAATATTTTCATTCTTGTACAAACCTTTCAACGAGACGAGCGTCGTCCAGATGAAACTATTAATCAACAAATTGGTCGAGTTGTCGGAGAGATTGCGCCAAGTATGCTTCTCTCAAGTCTATCAATGTCGAGTTGCTTCTTTATTGGTGCATTGACACCAATGCCTGCAGTTCGCATATTTGCACTTTACGCTGCTGTTGCCTTAGTAATTAATTTCATACTTCAAATGACTTGTTTCTTGTCGATATTTGTTCTTGACACTCGACGACAAGCCTCCAATCGACTTGATGTATTTTGTTGCATTAAAACGAAAAAATCAACAAAATCATCAAATCTCAATAATGGCATGCTGTATGGCTTTTTCCGTGACATTTATTCCCCTTTCCTTTTGAAGGATGTAACCCGATTCATTGTGTTGATTATATTTGGTGGGTGGTTCTGTGCCTCCATCGTTTCTTTGGACCAAATTCATATTGGATTGGAGCAAGAAGTTTCAATGCCAGATGATTCTTACATGATGGACTATTTCGCATTTTACAAGAGTTACTTCCAGGTTGGACCTCCAGTTTACTTTATGATCACAGATGGATACAACTATTCTGACCCTGTGGCTCAAAATCGTCTTTGCGGTGAATCTACTTGTGATAAAGATTCAGTCCTTAAAATATTGAACTATTTTTCAACCAAAACATCTGAAAGTTATCTTGCTTCTCGTCCCTCTTTTTGGTTATCTGATTACAATCAATATTTGCGAAGTGACACTTGCTGTAAAAAATATGAAAATGGTTCTCAGTGCCTAACCAATGAACTCGAATGTGAAACCTGCCTCGATGACATGAGAATACGTCCAATGGGCAAAGAGTTTGACCAATACTTGCCTTTCTTTCTTAACCAAAATCCAGGTGAAGAGTGTCTTTCTGGTGGTAAAGCTTTGTTTTCTGGTTCAGTCAAGTTAGTTAAAGATAGCAAGGGAGATCTTAGAGCTGGTCCAACCTTCTTAATGGCCTATCGAAAGTCCCTTAAAACATCTAAAGATTTTTACGAATCTCTTCGTATTTCACGTCAAATCGCCGATAAATTGACTAAAAAACTGCAAAAAAGTGGCTTGACTAAAGCAACTGTACGAACTTACAGCTTCACAGATGTTTTCTATGAGCAATACTTAACTATGTGGAGTGACACAGCACGAAGTTTAAGCCTTTCCATTGGCGCTGTTTTCATTGTTACTTATTTATTTTTTGGACTTGACTTTTATTCAGCTTCAATAGTTGCATTTACCATTATAATGATAATAGTTAATCTGATGGGAATGATGCATTGGTGGGATATTTCATTAAATGCAATTTCACTTGTTAATTTGGTTGTGGTAAGTAATCCTAAATTACTCTTCACCTTTTCAGCTTATAAACTCTTCAATTACTTAATTTATTTTTTATCTTAATTTAGGGTGTTGGAATTTCTGTTGAATTTTGTTCTCATTTAGTGAGAACGTATACAATTTCACCTGCCGCAACCAGAATGCAAAGAGCTCACGAAGCTTTATCAACAATGGGTAGTTCTGTAAGTATAATTATCTATTTTATTTCTCACGTCCCTTCTTAAAACTTATTGCCTGTTTTGGCCATGTTATATTTAATTGATGCATCATATCTTTGATTAGCTTTTTGTATTTGTTTCAATTACTCAAACAAATTTAATCACTGAAAAATATAACAATTTAATCTGATTTTTCTTTTCTTTTTTCTCTTCTCTCAGATACTATCTGGTATTACATTGACTGACTGTGGTATTTTAGTTTTAGCGTTTGCAAAATCAAAAATTTTCCAAATATTTTATTTCCGAATGTACCTTGGAATCATATTATTGGGAACATTGCATAGTTTAATATTCCTTCCAGTATTATTAAGTATAATTGGACCGCCACTGAATGAACAGAGGCTTACTTTAATGGCAAACAAATCAAAATCATCGTCATCATTCCAGGTTGCATCTGAACTTTCCTCTTCCAAATATCGGGAAAATGACTCAAAGAAGGAACAAAATGAGAAATGCTGAATGATTTAAAGATTTTTTATTCAATCAAACAAAAGCGACACAATCAAAGATGATTACCAGCCAATTAGCGCATTGCAAAAATTGTATTCAAACATGCAACAAACAATTTAGATCCATTGATGACTCATCTTAGCGTTTGCTATTGATTTAAAGCAAAGATTATAAATAAATTAATTAGATGGCTGAATGTGATAGCTCAAATGAGCAGTTAGATAGATTAACGAAGAAAAAAATACCATGTTAATAGAACAAGAATTAATGCTGCTTTTAAAACTAAAGCCATCATTTTCAACTCACCTTTTTTGTATTTTCAACCAATTGTACTCCGTGTTTTTTGTTAATTAAGATTCAACTTAATTTATTTTCAATAATCAATCAGTTTTTTTGATTTCTCGCCTCCTCAAGTGATTAATGTGCCTCAATATTTTGATTTACTGTAAATTTGATCATCACAAATGATTTGTTCTACCTTCCATTATCAATATTGTAAACATTTTATAAGTTGTAATCCCATTTAATTTGTAGATCACTTTATTTCCCTGATTGTAACAATCGATTGAAATTTAAACTTTCAATGTGAATATAGAGTGACATAACCAGAAACAAACAATATGAATAATTGTCATCAACTGTTAAAAAAGAGTTGTGATCAAATCCGTTCTGAAGCTATCAGTCAACAACACAGATACAAGTTATCTTAATATTGTTCATAAATGTAAATTTATGGCAACAATAGATGAATAATCAATTGATTTTAGGCCAAGATTATCAGAAACAATCTCCACCTCGGAAAGTAATTTATTCAAATTGACTCAACTTCATATTGTTTGTCTGGCAACAATTCAGCTCTATTTAACCAAAACTTAGTAATAATAAGCTGTAGTAATAATAATCAAATGAAAAGACAATTTTGATGGTTACAATGATTTTCAATGTTCCTGTGTTTTCAAATATTGATTGATTGTCCCTTCTCACTGATTACCTCTTAATTTATCATTATTTAACTCTTGTGATGATCATTTTTACACACTATCATCGTCATCATTTATAATTACAATTCACCTACAATGTTATTCACTAAGGTTTTGCTGAGCTAAATCAAAAAACAGTTTATTGACTAAGTTGCTTAATTAACAAACACGGTGGCAATAATCACATCTTCTATATGCCAACATTATTTTTTTTCAACCAAAACTCTGCTCTGTTCCCATCTTGAAAATAATTTCCTGATACATTCACTTTGCATCATCTTGTCTGTCATTCCCATAATCATCCTCCCATTATTTTCTGTCTCTCTCTCTCTCTTCCTATCTTTCCCTGAATCATTGAATCATTTCAATTGATCAACACGCACCTTTTTATTTTGAACCATTTTCCTCTCTTCCATAACTTGGCCATTGTTTTCTTGTATTGCTGTTTTTCATTTGGAAAACCTTCGCCTTTCCATTATTGTTATTACTTTCTGATGAATCTAATAATAATTTAATATTATTGAAAGACCCAAAAGACTTATTTTCATTCAAACATTTAAAATTAATACATTCAACTGTCATTACATTGGTTTAAATGAGTCAAGATGAACGACAAGAAAATCATAAAACAATCAGATCACAATGATTATGGCCTTTTAAGCTACTATTTAAAATGTCATTGTATTTATTATGTCTAAATATTTATCATTTAGCAGTTTAAGTGTAACAATTAAGAGTTGTTTATTTCTCAGAAGATGATAACTTTTGATGCTTTTTGGCACAAGATTACCGTTAGAAGGGCTGCAATTAATTTTGGATAATCAATCTAAATTGGGTTGAAAAGGATAAATACATTTATTGTTCAACAATTATGTCGTTAAACAATTAACAGTTTCTTCTGTGCAATTTTGGTAGCTAATTAGTAATGAAAAGAAAGCTTAAAACATAGTAATTAAGAGGAGAAGATATAATTTTATTTTTTTGATTTGCTTTAACCATTATTAAACATTTATAAGCGATAAAATTTGGTTCTGTTGTTAACTTAAAGCAATTACAAACAGATCACATCATCAACTTGGTAAACTTCTTGAATGTAATAGCTGGTTGTTATCAAAATAATTTAAGGCGTTTATCAATCAAGAGGATAGGAAAATGTCATTTAAGGCATTTTGTTTGTTGTTGACGACGGATTAAATTTTCATCGATGTAATCACTGGATTTGAAGGCCAATTTTTTAATTAGGGGAAGATGATGAGATGAATGTGGTGAAGGATGAGACATTTTAAAACTAATTTGCATGGAAATCTCACTGACAATGTCTTCTGGTTTAGATGAGAAAAAAAGAAGTCTGTATTACATCCACATCTAAACTGTTGACTCGTTTATCCTGATTTATCTTTTATTGTTTTTAATCATAACCGAGGTTGACGTGTCAACTTGTCTGCTTTGAAAGTAATTTTATATTCAGATGAGCAGAAAAAAGAAGAAAATCTTGATTCCTAGGAACATTTCTTGACAGGCTGATAAGCACAGTTATGGATTGCTTATAATTGCTAATAATGGCGATTGTTTCATGAAATTGCGATATTTAAGCTCAAAATTTAAAAGATATTTGCACTAAAATGATATAATTTTTATCACCATCTAAGTCTATGAATATAAGGTGATGACTTGAAGGTGATGACTTGAAGGTGATGCAGTAATAAAATTAAACCAAGTTGCACGAGTAAACAGTTCTAGGAGATATGGAAGTAATTAAGTAAACTTTTTCTAGTAAAAGCATTTTACCTATCAACTGTTATCTTGAATAGGCAGTCAAAAAAGAAGAGCAAAAAATGAAAATCTTTAACCAACAAATTGTAAAATTCCAGAGCAATCTGTTAATTCACAGACTGTTTGGAGTATCTTCTTGGCTATTTTTGGGTTCAGAATTTGGTTTAGTTGAGTCAAGATTTGGTTTAATAACATCATCCTTTGAAGTTTCGTCTTTTGAATCCTTAGAAGATTCTACAACAGATTCGGAACCATGAATTTCTTCATTTGTTGACTCAGAGGCAGGTACACAGTTCGGTTTAGAGATGGACTCGGGAGTTTGCTCTACAATAGATTCAGAAGAAACCAAATCACTATTTTCGAGGGTTTGTCCATCCTTCTCTTCTGATGGTTGTTCATTATCAGTTTCAGATTTGACACTAGTCTTTAATGAACAGGAATCATTATCTGACTTAGTAGATTGTACACTAGTTTCTGCAGAGCAAGATTCATCGCTGAGTTTAGAAGTCTTTTCTCTAGTTTCTTCGGAGGTTGGTTCATCATTTTGTACAGATGTTTTTCCAATAGTCTCTATAGAAGCAGGCTCATCACTGGGTTCAGAAGTCGCCTCTTTAATTTCTTCAGAGGTGGGTATATCATTGTTTGGATCTGCTTGTCCACTAGTCTCTATAGAAACAGATTCAATAGAGAGATCGGGAGCCTGTTCTTTAATTTCTTCAGAAGTGGGTTCATTGTCGGGTTTAGAAATAGGTTCCGAAATGGTTTGAATTTTTGACTCAGTAGATGGCTCAGTTATGGATTCGTTGGCGGCTTCATGTCTAGATTCAATAGTAGAATTTAAAGAGTTGTCTAGGACAAGACTGGAGTTGGGAGTAATAGGAGAGGCGGCAGAGCCACTTGGAGGGAAACCGGGCGGCTCAGGTGCTCTTCTCTTCTTCCTTGATCTGATGGGCGATGACCGAACTGTGATTATTGGTGAAGTTGAACGAGTAGATAGATTACTGATGGAATGGCTTAAATAGGTGTCAGTTTCGGCGGCTGACAGTCGGTTAGGATTTTGACTAATAGGACTTGAGATTCCGTTCGATGGCGTACGTTCAAGTGATGAAGCTGAATATGATGCTCGATTTAATGATTTGGTTGAGGGTGAAACATTACGGTGTTTACGTCTCGGTGGAACTGGTACCGGAGAATTTTGATTACTATAGCTATCTCTTTCCTCTCCACTTCTTCTGGCCAATTCACTTGATGAAGCTGATTCTATTTCACTTTGGATACTCAAATTATCATTCATATTGGAGTCAGAATTAGTATCAGCTAAAATTGCCGGTTTTTGCGTTTCCTTTACGGAACCAGTAGATTTCCTATAATCTATTTTACTATTATTATCCTCATCACCACCAAATGGATCCAACGATTCATCATAATCTGACACGGGAGCATTAATTGAAGTATTTAGGTTAGCTCCATTGGATTTATCATCTGAAAAGTTATCGTTTTTCTCATTGTGAATCAATGAAGCTCTGACTTTTCTCGGTGTAGATTTGACTTCCCTTTGCTCTGTTACCTCTTCATCGTCAGCAAAAGGATCGCAAGTAGAAGGATAAGCTTGCTCATCAATGACCGAAGACCTTACTGATTTGGGGGTTTCACTTATTTCACACTCATCTTCATCTCCAAAAGGGTCCAAATCTTTTGGGTAAAGGGCCGGATCAATGGATAATGATGTGTTTGACTTTGAATGTATGGACACTTTATCCATGGTTAAGATTAACTGATTCACAATCAATTACAACTGCACAGAGGAAAACCAACAACATAAAAAAAGGAAAGAAAAAAAATCTGAAACCATTCAACAATAAAAGAAAAGATATAAATAAACTGTATATTGACTTTGATGTGCTAAATCTAACAGTCTAACTAAAAGTGGATCACAATTTGTGACTTAAAAAAAGAAACGAAACAAATTGTCAACAAAATCGTTTCTCTCATACGATGAATCGATTTAACCATCGATATATTGATGTACAGTCAACTTCATAATGAATTATCAACTGAATTTATTAAGATATTAACAATCATAGACGAATAACTAATTCATCCAAATTTATTATTTACAATTTCGTGATACATTTTTCTTCTTCCTTGGTATTTTTCGACCAAAATTTTTGTCAAATAAATAAACTTTAAAACCTTTATTTTCTTCTCTTTCTTCTTCTTCGGACGTATTCGGCTGAATTAATATTTCAGGACATGCAGATTCTTGATATCTGATCTTCTCTTTCTCTCTTGATTTGATCTGATTCTTGATCTTCAGATACTGAGGTGCAACATGAAATTCAATTGCTTTTCTTGCTTTCACAGCTCTTGATCTTTTCTTTCTAGTCCAACGTGTTTTTATACGACGTCTTTTCTTGACCGTTAAGTCTTTTTTTTTCGCCATTTTTCAACAAGACTCAAAATTGCTTGATTGCTGAAAAGATCAGATGGCAGCTCGTTGGATTTGGAGAGTGACTGCGATCATAAAATATTTTTAGTCGATGATGATATGAGTTATTTGATTTCCAAAAACACCAAAGATCTACCAATCCATCAGATGCATTTTTTAAAGTGTTGTCATGCAGTTTATGGTAACGACGATTTCCAACTATTTGTGAGACAAACAGACAATGCCAATGAGTTCACGCTTCAATTGGCTAATATTTCCTCCTCACTGGCTGATTATGCGATTATGGAGTTGAAAGCATCAGATGAGAGTGAATTAACTTTTACCTGGATTGTACAAGGTGCAACGTTATTTGTCACTTTAAAACTGAAATATATTGGATTGGCACCAATTAATTTACAAGTGTTGTATAAATATTCTTGGTCGGGCAGAATACTCACTTGGGCGATTCCGATTGTAATCAAAGGGTTTTCTGAAGATTATGATACCAGAGAACGCGTTTATGATCTGCAAATACAACTAAATGAATATAAAAAGAGTATGCTGTGTATAAAAAGAGCGGCATAACACTGAAAAGTTTAGGTTTAACCCAAATACCAAGTACAGTAATTCCCTGAGTTTTTGTTTTTTTGGAGTGCTGCCTCGCCTAGTAAGAACAAA